ACTGTGTCAAAGAACCACGTTTCCCCTTGCAAACACAGCACTTAAACCAATACAATGCAGCACCTTCCACCTACATGAACAAAGCAACAACAACCCACTTGGATCTTTACCTTTTGTTTTTAATACAAAATCTCTTATTTTTTTTTTTTCTCCTTCAAGTTCATAATAATCATTGATCAGTCCAGCTTTTGTTGGAGTTGACCAATAACATGGACCCAGGAGGTGAGCCAGTGAATCCACAGCACTGGAAACCTCCACCACCTGTGAATCTCGACCAATGCAAACGCACCTGTGGCCAGTATGAAGGACTCGGGGGTTCTCGCGGGGAGGGGGGGAGGGAGTCGTCGCTGTCCCAGCAGTCTGGGTTAAAAAGGTCAGAGGTCAAATAAGAAGCAGCGTTAATAACTGACCGAAGAAGAAAAGACAAGAGATCGATAGTCAGATGACAGAGAGACAAAGAAAAGCTCATCATAGCAAAAGTGTTGATGCTTTGATTCTTCTCCACAAACACAAAGCTGCTTATTCATACAAGAAGAAGCTTTGATGCTATTAAATCTGTTTAGGCTGTTTCAAGGCAGATTTTAAACAATGTAAGTGTGTGACAGCATTTATATCAATATTTACTGACTTTATATCAGGATGCATCAGTTTGTAGATGTGCATCTGTTACTATTGTTTCAGAAGTGATTTTATAGTAAAGTAATAGTAGTAAGTAAGTAGTAAATCACGAAAAATGATTCCTATTATTAAATGTTATTTTTATTTGTCTTCATTTTGTTCACTCTCTTAAATTACACACAAAACTAAATTCTGCTTTGTAGTGTTTTAAAAATTATATATCTCTCTCTTCGTAAAAAGATTGAAACATTTTTTTTTGTTTTAATTGGTTGGCAGAGGAAAAGCATAGACTGCCAGCTGGCCCCCTTTCAGATAGCTACAACGGGCTCCTAATAAGATTGTAATAATAATATTAATGATGATGATGATAATAATAATAATAATGATAATGGTCGTTTTTTGTAAATGGTATTTTAAAGTTATTTTTGTATACGCGATTGTTTGTTGCGTCACAAGTCCACTGCTCCCCATCCAAGCCCCCACTTCTCTCTTCTCATACACTTTTTTTTTTTTTTTTTTTTTTTTTACTTTTCACTCTTTCTGATTCATTTTTTCCTGTCTCTCAGCTTGCTCTTTCAGCTTGCTCTTTCAAAGTGAAACATGCAAGAGAGATGGATCTCGTGCTCTGGACAAGGAGCATCTCATTATTTTCCTCTTCTCTTGTTCTCACTTCTCCCGCTGTTTTCTCTCTTTCATCTTCCTCCACTTCCACCCTCATTTATGCCTTTTTCATTTTTGAAAGGCTGTCACTTTCAACACATCACTTCACTTTAGTAAAGCATCTCTTTACTTGTTGGCAGTTCAAAGTAACAAATTATTCCCATAAACGGACGAGTAGACATGTTGAGAAGAGGCGTTCTTTTTAACTTTATTCATCATTTCTCATCTGCTTTCTTTTCCTCAGCCTCCATTTCTTTCTGTTTTACCATCTCTGCCCCCGTCGCCCGCACACTAGCCTCGATCTCAGAAAAGAGCCCACCTGTGCCTTTAAGAGAGAGCCCGCCCTCCCCTTGTCCCCTCTCCTCCAATCATCATTCGTGGCGTGAGCGTGAGTGATATGATTCGCTGCTGCTTGCTCATTGCCTCCTGTGGGACTCTCATTCAGCCACGCTCCTTGTCCCCCCTCCTGTCACACACACAGAGACAGACAGACACACACAAACATAAACACACACATGTACACCCAAAATGTTTGTATGTTGCAGAAATCAATCAGTAAAAATGAACGTTAAGTAAAGACGCGTCTCTGTTTTCTTTATTTGTACGTTATGACATAACTAAAAAGTGTGTGGACTACATGTGATCGAGTATATGTGTGTGTGCTTGTGTGTGTGCGTGAATGTGTAGACGTACAGTAAGTATTCATTTATAATGTAGACCAGTCAAGTGGTTAATAAATCACTTTGACTTGTCTCTGAATTAAAATAATTAAATTGTGTCTCCCACTGGCTAAAATCTCTATATAATCTGATAATGTCAATCACAACTGACTTCAAAATGAACTTCTACTCTGCATCACTGTAGTGTGCGTGGAGGCGGGTGGGGGTCACAGCAGGAGATCTTCTCTTACACCTGGAAGATCTGCAGACTGAAATGTACGTACACACACATGCTAATGTGACAATTAATTAATCATAGCAGATGGTATAAACACACATTAGCTCACTGTCTTACACAGAGACCTTGAGGGTTTCACATTTGTATTCACTTTACACACATAGAGAGGAACAGCAGGTGGGCACACATACTGTAATTATTTGCCAGTGATCACATGTCGCCACTGCTCATATCAGGTTAATTATACAAACATTATATCATAGTCACGGACAAAAGCACTTCTTAAAACAGTATTTATCCACAAACATATCACATGATGTTCACATGAACATTTAAGACAAAAGACAAAAATTACTTTTTTGAACAGATAAAAACACCTCTATACTAGCAAAGTTTTGGGAGGCTGTATACAGTGACAGTTCCAGCCCATTTAAACCACTGGGGCCAGTTAAACCACCTCTGAGTGGTTCAGAAGCCAAATCAGACTGGTCATTTAAAGGAATAAAATCAAAGGCACAAAAATTACCAAGTTAACAACTTCCAGTTTGTAGTACTGTTCCACTGTGATGTGACACAAAAATCCACACAAAATTCAGTTAGCAGCAACAACAGATTTATGTTCACATCCAAATACACACGATATAGATACGTGATTTTTACACTCCTATCCCATGAATTTATATAGTACACAAAAATACATATGATACTACAAAGCTTATACTCGGATATTAATATAAATAAGGACTGAATATTTCAAAAAGTGAACATTTTAAACATTTACAGAAAAAAAGAAAGTGTCAGTGCATGCATCAAATACATGACTCACACTCTTATCTGTGCATGACATCCAGAACTTAACCTATAAGGCCTTCACTATTCAAGTTAATTGAATCTCTGTGCAGCTTAAAAGTATGCCCAGCAAAATTTTTAAATGTTGCAGCGGACGTTTCTTTTAATGTGTAATATATCCATAATAAAGCGGGACCCAGTGAGCCTCACACCACTCCAGTGGCTTCTTTCCTTTACTTGTTCATGCACATTTTATAACTTTCTCCTTTTATTTTACTCACAACTGATAATCTATGCAGGGTTTTCCTCTCAGTAGCACAGTATGAATACAGTCTACCTCACACACACACACAGACTAACGCGCTCTCTCTGTGTAGTATAAATTAAGCCAGGTTGCTATCTTAACTGGGTCACCTCAGTTTTCCCATGGAGCGGTTTAACATGTTATGTAATGGCTTATAAATATAGCCAATCAGTGTTGAGTATACCGGCAGGCTGCGCTGCCATCTGAAGAAAATGAAAACTGTGTCAGCTCTGTCTTTAACGCTTGCAATTTAAGATGTATTTGAATAGATTAATTTTAGGTAAATTAGTTTTATACAGTAGATGCTGGAAGAATTTGACTTTCTCTTACACACATTTACTTCACGGTGTTCTCCTAAGCTGCCCCTGCACACACAGACATCAGATTTCCACTTCCGGCTTGCATCATACAATAATCTTGTCACAACGTTTATGGCCAGTTGTAACTTTACAACCCTCCTTGTGCAGCCGCTAATCATGTTTAGTATTCACGGTTGGCTGTCACACGCTGACAGGCCTTGTGCTGAGAGTCTGAGTCAAGAAAATGTTTTCATCTCAACAAATCAAAGTGTAAACAGCGCTGGAGGATTCATGACACTGTATAGAGATGTGTTCTGTGTGTGAGAGTGATAAGCTCATCCAGTTGTGAACATTAGATGAAAGAGTGCATGGTTATTTCTTTGATGGGAACATTTCCATTTCAACCAACACACCCCATCACCACCAAACTTCTCCATGTTCTGTCAGTCATTTGTGGACGCCGATAGTTAGTCTGCACAGTGTTGGTGTCAAGTCCAGACATAGAACCCTCAACTAAGTCAGAGAAAATGTGAGTCCAGAAATAAGTTAATATCTAAAATAAAACAATTAATTGTTTATCATTTAAACTAAAGCAAAACATTTTAACATGATAAAAACACTTAGTGTAACCATTAAAATCACTTGAGTTTGTCTCTTTTTTTTCATTTCACCCAGTTTCAATCAAATCATAAACAGCTTTTTAAAGGTATTTAGGGATAATGCTGAGATTATTAGTATATTAACTGATTAGTTGTTTGACAGGAAATTAATCACCAACAAATTTCCTCATTAATTAATGTTTCAGTGTTTTATAAAGCAAAACAAAACATCCTTTGCTTTTAGCTTCTCAAATGTGAGGATTTAATTTTTTCCTGTTTTATATCAACATAAATTAAATATCTTTAGGTTTTAGATTGTTGGTTTGACAACATGCAGTCTGAAGGTGTCACCTCAGACTCTGGGAAGTTGTGAATGGCATTTTTCACAGTTTTCTGACAATGTGTACTCTCAATTAGGATTTCACATAATAAGCATATCAGATTATAAAATAAAATGCACAGTTCTAGATTGGTCTACCCAATAACCAATTAAAATTGGCTCCACCTACACCACTTTTGGTGATGGGCATTTTTCATTCTTTTCTGACATTTCTACAGGGAACAATTAATCAAATAAAATGATTTAGACCCAAATAATGTGGCGCAAACTTGTGGCTGTGTGAGCCTGAGTGACTGTACCCACCACTGAGTAAAGTGGGTAGGTTGCTAACCCATTTTGCACACTGACTGCGAGTTTGCTTGAAGTCTTGCTCTTTATTATTATTTCACAAAATACATTAACAGTAGGCTACATACACAGCTGCTAAACCCCACCTTTGGTTTTTCCCTCTCCATCTGTCAGTCAAGCCTTAATCCCGCCCTCTCCCTGTCCGCATGTCAATCAAACTTCAACTCCGCCCCTTCACTGCCTGCTTGCACGTCGCGCAAAAAAACAGCAGCGACGGCCGTTGGGGGAAGAGAGTAAATAGAGAGAGAAGCCTCAAGATGGCTGACTCGCTGGGCACCGTTCACCTCACCGGAGCTGCGGCTACTGCGGTAGCCCCCGCGGTCGCCTCCGCCAAAAGCCCGCTCGTCAAGCCGACCGAGTCAAAGGGAGCCCCTGACAACCGCTCTCAGTCTTCCCGGGATTTCAACCCGCCGCCGCCCAAGAAGGTCCGAGTCGAGGAGAGGAGCGTTAAACCCAAAAAACTCAGCAGGGAAACAGGAGTGGGAGGCAACGGTAGCGGCAAAGAGAAACTCCAGCAGCCCACGAAGCAGCAGAGTTATGGCAGCAGCGCGGGTTTGTGGAGCTTCAGTCCGGTTAAGACGAGCAGCAACAACCCTCCGGTGCCTGCTACCGGTGGATCTCAACCACCGACAAACACACACAAAGTCTTCAAACAGAGCGATTTCTTTCTCCACAAAGCGCCTTCCACCTCCAAACCCAAGAAACCGAGTAAAGATAAACAGCAGGAGAAAGAGAGGGAGAAGGGGAAAGGAGGCGGAGAGGAGAAAAAGAAACATAAACTGATGTTGACCTCCGGACCTGGGAGCAACGTTAGTAACAACAACGATATCAGCAGATTTAATTACATTTCTGCAGTGAAGAGAGAAAATGGGGAGGTCATGTTGCCACCCAAAGGTAGGCCATCATAGTGTATTTTCTTTGGTTAAAATTGACTTTAAACGTGAAGCAAATTCATAAAGTTTGAGTTGTGTTTATTATAAGTAGGCACGAGTTCTGTCCTTTTATAGTAACTTGGCTCGTCGTAGATTCAGCCACTTGGGATATGAACATGTGGCCCGGAGTGTGCAGTTGTCTGCCTTCTAATTTGCTTCGGACAGTCCTGTTTTCGGACTAGCTTCTGTTTAAAAGGCGCTCCTAAACGTTGTGTAAGAGCCCGTGGAATGCTCGAGAGTTACTCCATTACACATTTGTTCGCCCGGGGAAATGTTTACATCGAGTTGAGTGGCTTTAAAACCCAGTTTGGTCGATGTCTGTACGGTCTCTGTCTGCCAGCTTTCATCGCTTGTTCACCCGCTCGTGAACCCTCGAGCTCCTATACAGCGTTCCAGGGCAGTAGTCGCGCGACCTTGTTGTTAGATTGTAACCAGCTGCTCTCGTGCTGCTGCGGAATTGTTACGTAGTTACGTCCTATTGACTAAATATAGCGTGTTTAATTCACATACGTTTAACAGTATGCTAATGTAATATATACATTCTAAGATGTTATAAGCTGCAAAAACAAGCTATAATCTGTCATGTCAGCGTAACGATTGAGGAGGATTGTTGGTTATTCTGTAACATAAATGCGCATGAAATTATTTTATTTGCCATTGGAGCTGTGTATGTATTAAAACTACACGCCGCTGTCATAACAATATGACAGCCGCCCGCCATTATAGTGTAAGTGTTGTTTTGGTAGAGCACCACGCCCCCTTCTGTAACCTCGGGCTGTATGGGAAACAGACACAGAGCTCCCTGGCTTGTTGATACTCCATGTTTTACAGTTGTAGATGCAAAGCATGTTGTATTTCATTCTACCACTTCTCCACTAATTTGCTTTACATCTGAAACCTTTATTATCACACTGTAGTGATTAGACTTTGACTCTATTGACAACAGCAAGTGCAACTACATTATTGACTCAACCCCCCACATTTAGTTTTTATTTGAGTATGACCACTGGTGTTGCTAAAATGTCTTTTATGTGCGAGAGACCAGGAAAAAGCACAAAAAAATTAACAGTGGTCTGCTAAATAAATTATGAAGTATTGATCCTTTTTTTCTATAATGCAACCTTCTAAGAACAAAAAATACAGCATTTAATATTTTAAAAATGTTAAACAATAACTATTTATTATAAAGCTTTTTACAATATTGTAATTCTCAATATACCAGACAATACATTATCTAGTCAAATTACTCAATCATGTTACTAAAAAGGTGTTGTATAAAAGCAAAATTTACAATATACAGGCTACACAAATTCTTTGTCATACATACATATCACATCAATCATATCACTTTATTTATTTATTTCACATTATAAAGTAAAGAAGTGCCGTATATCATCAACATACATGTGGCTCAGTATTATTGTACAGATAATTGTACAATAGACATTATAGATATCAGGCCATTTATAAAATTATATATATAGATATAGATATATTCTGGCACATGGAATTATTATATTCAATTAATCCAACTATCACAACATTAAAGCCAAAAATGTCTGTCTTAAGATGGTCTCATTAGTGGACCTTGTTTTTTTTGGTTTATTGTTTTTTCGTGTTTTTGCTTTTATGGGTGTTTTGTCATGGTCCCACCAAGGCAGTTTCTCAAATCTTGGCATGTGCACATTTGTGTTGGTCAGCGCATCTAAATGTCATTTGTGTGTTAGTGTTTAGATGTGAGCAGGAACACCGAGTGGACACATGTGAGATTGTGTGAATGCATGATGTCACCCTTTTCCAGTTGGGTAGTTTAAGAGGTCATGACATGCTCTGAACAGCCACTGCAGTCAGCGAGAACACCACAGCGTGACATGTTGTTGGCCTGTAGCCCTAACACACTATCAGAAACCCTTGTCTTGTAAACAGGTTGTGCTGGATGTCAGTTTTGTTTTATTCAGGCAAAAAGGTGGCAGGGAAGGGATTTCGTAACAGCTAAAGAATATTTAAAAGGGATTTAAAAAATTGTGAATGTTAAATAAACTCTGTCTCTTAACTCATTAATGAATACATTTTTATTGAGCAATCATAACACTAAAAATCAATTAGTTTAGTTTAACTACTTGTAAGTTTGCAGGTAAGCTTTTATTTGCCTATTATGTTAATTTAAGAACTCTTCATGCTGTATGCAAGCTAGTTAAGAATAATTACTCATGACTTCACTTCACACAGAGAATCCAATCATACCTGAAGTCATCAGCGATCTTGTAGAAGTCATTCATAAGGTGGTCTTGTCACTGAATTGGAAGACACTTCAGTCACTGAAAGATCACACCATTTTCATTCTGGGCCCGACTGAGAACATTTGGATGCAGCAAGAATTAAGATTTAGTAACAATGCTTCAGCAGTGTCACTGAGGTGCTCTTGAGCAAAACACTGAACCTCTGATTGTTATTGATAGCTGCTCAATGGCCAGCAGCAGGAGATTGTAATTATACGGAATAGCTTCAAATGCAAAGATGAGTTAGTATATGAACATGGACCAGAGTGTTAATGCACATTAATCCCGAGCAAAATGATTTCAAAGATTAAAATGCTCAGGTGCTGAGTGGCTGGCCGGCTGGCCCAGTGGTTAGACAGACTGCTGTAAGGACATGAGTTTGAGGCACGGTGCTGGGAAGTGTCCTCGAGCTAGCGAGTGAGTCCTGCCAGCTTGAAGAGCGCTGCTGAGAAGCCGAACTGTGCTCTGACCTTCCTGGGAGGAAAGAATTTTTCTGCAGGGATCCAAAGAGTATCACATCATCACAGTGATATTAGTGGTGGGCTTGCTGTTGGAGCGAGGCTGAAGGCAGTGGCCAGGGAGCAGTGACTCCTGGTTACATTTGGTACTGAATAAAAATAAACATGCGTCTGAGTCTGTCGCAGTGAACAAGTGGACCAAGACAAGGAAATTATAATAAGACAAATGTAAATATTAATTGATAAACTGTGCAGGTTTGTCTGATATATAAGACATTCTTGTTTTATTCTAAGGTCATGAGTTTAATCCTTGCTGGCAAAGTGTTTGGCTGTTTGACCTGTTGTTGACACCCAGTGTATTTACATGCAGTCTGATATAATTATATGAAGTGAAGTGCTGCCAATAATTCAAGTGGTGAACACTTTAAATGGATTATCTTACTCACATTCAAGCTGAATTCAGAGACATCATAACTCAATTAATGAAGCTGTAATACTTGCCAATGTTTTAATCACTAGTTGTAGTATAAACCTCTTAGCCTGTTTATTTTTTGGGTTTTGATTCATCACACATACCGCATAAGTCACAGGTTAAGGCTGATGCAAACACCTTATTTAAAAAAAGTATAATATGGCAAGTTTTTCTACTTACAGCTTTCAAGCCTTTCATGTTACAACTATTGTCACAAATAACAGGAGCTTGCATGAAGGTACTCTATAAACACAACAACCTGGAAAACGTTGACAAAGTCCATTTAGTTTCTTATTATTCACTATTCCAGTTTCCTGTTGCCCGAGAGCGTCTATTGTTGTGGACATCATTCTGAAAAGTCATGTAAACCTGGGTTATTAAGGAAGTCTCGTTACTGTGAGTTGTGTAAATGTCTGAATTGCAGTAATTAGGTTATTTGTGCGCATGTAAATGCACTATTCTGACAGAATCCCTTACGATGTCTGGGACTATTTGTCTGTGGCCAAGTGTAGCGAGGGGGGAAAAAGGGAGAGAAAGTGAAGCTTAGCTGCAATCAGCACCCAATTAAGTTGCTGTCGGCTGGGTCATTTGTTTGGTCTCAAAAAAATTACAAAACTCATAACTCTACATGTACTATAGCAGTGCAGAAGAGTGCCAAAGACTTTACAACCTTTTTGCTTGAATGGTGAAGCATAGATTTTCCACACCAGCAGGGGTGAACTGACCATCTTACATTAGCAGGATTTTGCTGGGAGGCAGGTCTGCCTGTAGTCTGAGAGTGCAGCAACGCTGATGCAAAAACATCTGAAAATCGGTTGTGCTTTTTGGTTTTCCTTGGCCAGCCAGCTGCATGCAGGAGAGAGACAGTCATACAATTACTCACTTCTGAGGAACACATCTTTCCTTCCCTATCATCTTCAGTTTAATATATATTTGCTGAGCTGCTGATGACAGACCAATAATCAAAAATTATATATACGTCTTACCACAGTATGTTCTGAATTTAACTGTTTTTACCATATACATCCTTAAATATGCACATGCATATCATAGGCCTGTATGGCTTTTACCTATTCCCAGTTTGCCACAGCATTACAGACTGAGTCAATTTACTGAAGAAATTATGTGCTTCTGTTCACATGGGACTGCTCCACAAATGTGGTGTTCACAGTGGGGAGCTCGCTCACTATGTCTAATTTTTGAAGCTTTCAGTTTCTTTCACATAAACAGAATTAGCATGATTCAGTTTAATTATCTACACATGAAAATCTGGTAGAAGGATGTCCAGAAAGAAACAGTCTGTCATATTAAAATTAGATACTCAGAGCATAGAAGTGAATGTTGAATAGAAGTTATGTAAACAATATGAAAGACGTTCACATGGAAAGCTTTGTAAGATGAGTGTTAAGGTTTGTAAGTTTAATACAATTCTTTCATCCATTTTCTGAACGTGTTATCCTGTTTAGGTCACAGGCAGCTGGAGCCGATCCCAGCATGCATTTTGGCGAGAGGCAGGGAACACCCTGGACAGGTCGCCAGTCTTATCACATTACTAACACACATTTAAACCTGGCTGGGCTACAGTGTTAAACACTGCCCCAAGTTAATACTCCTACGAAATATAGTTAAATTCAAGGGCAGATTTTTTTCAGGAAGTTAGTTTTCAGTTTGTAGTTTACATTAAAATCAAGCTAACATCCAAATGTGGATACCCCATTGATTTCCTGAATTTTTGAGTCCCCTCCCCAACTGCAAAAAGTTTGACGCCATTGAGCTCTGGTGTAGCTGAAGTTTACAAACTGCCTGCCGCTGGCCCTCCTGTCTTTCAAAGTGATCTCTCTCCTGTGATCATCCAAACAGTGAAAGCCACCGGCTGTGTTCCCCTTGAAAACTGCCTGCTGCAAGAAAAGTCAGAAAACAAAATGTTGAAAAAAATAATTTTCATGGACCCCATTCATTTCTGATTCCTATACATCTCTAATTTTGCGCTGCATTCCCCTGACAAAATTGCCATTGCTTTACATTTTAGTTATGGATCAGTTTGAACTTGTGACCCACCCGTCCCCCAAGCCATGGCATGGGCATTAACCACTGCAGCACCATACAGCTCTTTCCTCTTCAATGTGGTTCCCATGAAGTTCAAAAGAAAGTTTCTCTTTATTTTAAGGGGAAGACCCTTCTCTCAAGCTGTGATAAAACAGCTTGTTCTCTAGTGTGTTTAAGCCCCGGTCAGCCACCTGGCATAATTTATCTCCCATTGCCTCTAAATTTTAAGTTTATGAATGTTACTGCTCTGACATGGTCTGACATCTTTTTATAAATCTGGCACTAGATCTGAGTGAGCCCTCTTTTGTCTGCAGTTTCCTGTGGAGTTAAATTGATGTTTTGAAACAGGCTTTTTTTCCAGCAGGCAGCTTACAGTGTCTGGTTATTTTATAGCATTTATTTTGCATAGTTCTTAAAATGGTTTGTTAACATTTTTGGCATTCTTCCTCTTAACCACAGGGTATGAGGGGAATGATTACCTGCATGTTAAGTAGCAAAGAAAACGATCCACTAAAATTCAAAATGCCATGGTATTTATTTAAATATTATTGAAAAGAGTGTATCGATGTAACTCTAATTCTTCTACTGCTCCTTTAAGCCTTTTTACTTTCAAAGCATTTTCTCCTTTGATCCTGCAAACATTGAGTCCAACCCCACTGTGTTCACTTTCCCACTCCTCACATCCACAGGAGAGTGAACAGTCTGAAAACACAGCTTCCTTTTAACGATGGATCTGACCGAGTTCAAAGAAAAAAGTTCTTTGGAAAGGAAAAGAAAGAAAAGGCAATAGAACTAATGTGGAAAAAATAAAGGCTTTTTTTCTTTAATTTCTTTATGGGAATATGAAAGGAGATAAAGAATCAAAGGAAACAAAGAATAAAAGATTTGATAAAATGAAAGTTATTTTAAGAAAGGTGAGGTTTCTCCAAGCTCAGCTGGAGGTGAGAGATGTTGGTTTACAGAAGAAAAAAGTGTGTGTTTGTTAATGTGCACACACTTAGACGTGCCTCAACTTTCAGAGAGCACTCCAACAACTGAAGAGGTGTGTGTGATGGTATGATATTTACATTTTAGACTGATGCTCTTATCCACAGCGATTTGGAATGAGTGTTGCATTAGAGCGCACTCCAGTTCCTCTATTTGTAATATTCCCTCAACACTCAAATGATTCTGTCAGACGGGCTGGAAGAGGAAATAAAATGAGTCGAAAAGCGAGGGAAGATTTTAGGCCTTTTAAGACCAGAGCATATTGAAGCTGGTAGAGGCAGAATATGGAGGAGGGATGAGTTTGGGGGTAGAAACATGAGGTGTATCTAGATGAGATGTGGTTGTAAGGTTATGAGGGAAGTTGCAGAGTGACTGCTGCAGTCTTAAAGGGAATTGGAAGGTCATTACATCGCTGAAGAAACGTGAGATAAGACGAGAGGCTGCGGTGGAGAGATGAATTTGTTGCAGCGGGGAGGGAGAAGCCAAACATTCTGTAGGAGGAGGACCAGCATGATAAAGGAAAAGTTAAGGGTGACGGCCAAGGTGAGGAACTTGGCAAGAGTTCAGTTAAGAAGATACAGAAGTAAATCGAAGTGAACTGCGTGCATGTTCACGAGCGAGTGAATCTGAGTGCTTGTGTTTTCTACCGCTGAGACCTGAAACTTTCCTCTCTGCTTCCACAGAGCACTCCAACAAGGACAAGGCGAAGGAGAGGGACAGAGAGGAGAGGGAGAAGAAGAAGGTCAAAGACAGGGAGAAGGAGAAGGAGAAGAAGAAGCACAAAGTGATGAACGAGATCAAGAGGGAGAATGGAGAAGTCAAGCAGCCAATTAAAGGTTGGTGGAAACACACATACATGCATATCAAGTGACTTTTGCATGGATGCAATTAATGAGTATATTCACTACTGGTTAAACTGTTAGAACATAGTGCAGAATGCCCATCACAATTTCCCAAAGCCCACAGTGATGTCTAAAGATTGGTTTCTGTCCAACCAACAGTTTAAAACCAAAAAGTATTACAATCATGTGAAAAATGGAAAAGCACATGTTAGAAGCTGGAGCCAGCAAGTGTTAATAAATAATAATAATAAAAAAAAAACAATCAACTTGATGCTTGAATGTTGGAAACAGCAGCTTTACAAAAAAGCTCATCTCCTTACTTGGTGTTTCTTAAGCTCTCAATCACATCATGTGGCTTTCCTCAGTGGATGGAGTTGCTTGAATGTTATGGAGATGGTAGTAGAGTAGTACTAGAACTGCAGAGACAGTGGTTGTTATCACATGACCTACAGCCAGTGTGGAATTTCAGTCATGTGATAACAAGTGGTCGTATATGGCATTGTAGGGGTTGTAGCAACTGTGTGGACCTTGTGTTGAGAACTTTTTTTGTCAAGACGTCAAAATTGGTGATTTATTTTCTGTTCATCAATGTATATATTAACTGGTTCAGCACCAGATTTGTCATTTTACCAAATTAAATGCCAATTTATATAGAATTACATAATTAGAGATTTAGCATGATTTAAGGGCATCAATATATAATGTATAAAATACAATATAAAATCAGTTTTTCTGGACAAAAATTGATTAGTGCAAGATGTATTGTGATATTATATTGTTACTGTGATAATTGGATTTCTTTATCATCTACAGTTGATTGTGTTTTATGGTTTTTAATACCCTAATTGGACTGCAGAAAGTAGTTGCCATGTTGACTCGTTATTGTTTGGGCAGCCTGTTGGTGTGAGAGTGAGGAGGCAATCAAATGTGTCAATGTCCTGGTGGCTCAGTGGGCTGAGCTACACACCCCACAGGCTACTTGTTACATCTGTCTCTCCATCGTTTATCTTTTCTGTCACTTTCCACAGTATGCAGTTAAAAACAAAGGAAAATACTATGTTGATAATGCTAAAAAAATTAAAAGGCGTTGCAGAATAGTACAGACCATCACTGGAAGCATTTATTGCTTTCATGCCAGTTAGAAACACAGAGTTGTGTAAGTGCACCATGTTGGACCTCAGCATGAATTTTAGCTCAGTAGAGGCACACTAGAAACCTGCTGCTAAGATAACCAAACATGGCCTACTTTCACAGGGTGCTGTACAGTAAATCATCATTATGTTTGTAACGTACAGGCAGCACACGCAACTGCTGAGCATCCCAGTGGGTGTTGGGGAAAAAATGCTAATACTGTGCGTTAGCCATAAAAGGCCCAATATAGAATAGTAGCTGTGTGGTGGGAGAACTCGATAAGTCTGACAAGTGTTGTAACCATTTTTTTTTCTTTGAGAATTTGATCCTTGGAATTAGGTTGACCTTTGAACCTGCTGCTCCTCACATGGAGAAATTTGGCTTAGGGTTTATTTAGTCTGACCCGCTGACATCGTGTGTGTTTCTGTGTGCGCGCTGCTTGTGCATCTGGTAGCTAGGATTGAAACGGGAGAAGTTGAGAGACAGGCCAAGGCAATGTAGCCTGTAACCCATGTTTATAATGCCACTCTTTTTCTGTCAGTGTTTCGCTCTGTCTTTCCCTTTTTTTCCTGCTCAGTCTCTCTCTGTTGCTTTCTGTCCGCCCTCTGTATTGTTTTATCTGACTCTATCTGTCCACACATACTTTCTCAGGTTAGCAAACCAAAACCAAAATTAATGTGTGAAAATTAGGAAAAGGATCTTAAGGTTAGATGATATGGAAGATTTTTCTTTATTGTTGTAAACAAACTTTTTTTTTGGATGGTTATTTGAAAAAGAATAACTGAAGACATCACTTTTGGCTCCAGAAAATTGTGATGGTCTTTGTCACCATTTTCCCCAACATTTTACACATTAAGTGATTGATTAATCACCATGTTAATAGGTAATGAAAATAAATATTACTTGCAACCTTAACCACAGTTTTCCTAAATGTCTTTGTACATGTTCCTCTAGTTCAACATGTGTTTGTCTTCTTCACTATGATATTCTTAAGAAAAAAGTCATTTTTTGAGGGTGAAAAAATTGTTGTTTTGTTGTTTTTACACAATGGCCCCAATGAAATTTTTTAATTACATGACAGTGACAAAGATATGTACTGACAATATGCAAACTTCACTGTATATGAAATCAAAAGTAATGAAATACAAAACACTAATACAATAGAAATATTGTATCCTTAGATTTAGACAAAAATATGTAAAGTTGTATCCTTTAAAACAGGTGAAAGCCAGCATCAGTTAACCTATCCATCAGCCTTCGTCTGGCTCTACTGTATGCACGTCTTTGTTCTGCTGTGTACACTTTACGAATGTGGTGGCGAGTTTCATTGCTAACCTTTTGACAGTAGTGAATTATTTGCAGAACGCTGTGACGTAATCTCCATCTGTGTGTGTGTGTGTGTGTGTCTGTGTGTGTGTGTGTGTGTGTGTGTGTGTGTGTGTGTGTGTAATCTGAGCTCTGCCACCAGACTACAGCTCCCCAGACAGTGGCTGTTTTCTCTTTAAAACTTGACCTTTTTAGACAGACACACCACACACTGACATATACACATGAATGTCATGTTTATTATGATTGATCAGATTTGTTGTAAAGCTCCACTCAGACTTGCAGTGTCCCTGTGCTGGTATGTCATGACCAAACTGTGACATTTCTGTCTTACTAAGACTTTGACCACATACCATAGCCAGTGGCTGCAGATGAAAATTACAGATGGATTATTTGGCGACTATTTCAGTCTTCCAACTTTCTGTATGAACATAGAGCTAGGAAAAGGCTGGACATAGGAGAGACTGAGAGAAAAAGGCAGTGTGTGTTAAGTCTGCAGTCATCCTGCTAGAAAGCCTAGTATTTAATCATGTGTGTTTACGATAATAGAGACACACTGGGATACACGGTGGGATATTGAATTGGAGTTCAGAGACCAGAGAGTAGTGAGTGAGTCATTTAATCACAGAGTGTTAAGTTTGCAAATGTTTGGAGTGACAGAGAGATGGAGGGAAAGCTAGAAATTTAATCAGTGAGAGAGTGTTAAGTTTACAATTCAACAGGGCGACAGAGAGAGGGAGGGAAGCAGCCAGAGGAAACATGTATAGGAAATCAATAAGCAGCAAACAGCTATTCTGTCACTAAGGCTTTTTTTTTACCACTGAGGATGTGTGTTCTTATTTGACTGGGGCCTTATCTGACCTTAAACTGATCATCACCATCTACTACATAAAATACATAAAACTATTGTAAGACAATGAACATGCGTGTGCTGCATACACATTGAATGTTTCTCAATGACACAAAATCTGCCAAAAAGAAAAAAGCCATGAAGGAAAGGAAGACTATTATCTTTTATTGTGAAGTAGCTGCAGGCACACAACATACTGGCAGATGTTTGACATTGACTAGAATACTAACTAGTTGCTAAATCTGTATATTAATTATGCATTTTGCTTCACTGATCAGAACAATTGGCTGTGTTATTGAATATTACATATGTAGAACGTTGTTATTGTAATTTTAAAAGAACTTTAAAATAATTTTTTATTCCCAGGAAACAAGATTAATTTTCAGTATCTATATTTGCAGTGAGAGATGGTGAAATTGCATACCGGTACTTACAATCTGTCTCTGCATTTCACATCACCATTGCAATATCCAACAAATTTATCACACATCACATATTTTTCCCATATTGTGCTGTTCTTCTGTGGGTTGATGAAGGTTGAGGTTTGGGAATAAACGTGCGTGTGTGTGTGTGTGTGTGTGTTCGCGTGTGCGTGTATATGTGTGAGTGTGCATGCAGGTGTGTATGTGAGAATTGGGGGAGGGTTGACTTGTGGGTTAAAGAGCTTTTGGATTAGTAGCTTGGGTATTGTACTGCAAATACCTTCTCTCTCTCTCTCTCTCTCTCTCTCTCTCTCTCTCTCTCTCTCTCTCTCTCTCTCTGTTGGTCTCTTTATTGCTCTCTCTCTCTCTCTCTCTCTTTCTGCTGTTTTTCATTCTGTCTCATTCCTGTCTCATGTTGCATTGAACGTGTGTGGGGTACAAACTAGACTGAAGGTGTGTGTTTATATGTGTGTGTGAGCGAGATAATGGCTGATGTTGGAATTATGCTGAGGCAGCAGCACCTCCTATCAAAGTGATGCACATATGCACACACACACACACACACACACACACACACACACATGCAGTAAATATATCTTGTTTACACAACCACTGGGCAAGAATGAACCACCAACACGTTTGTAAATCGACGTGAACAGCTCTGACACGCACACTCTCACAGACAGATACGTACAGTAGCACAATGCATAAATTTGCATGTTCCACTTTGTCCTGCCCCGGGCGTTTAAGAGATGGACTACCATGTACAGTATTATCTCTGTTCAGATATGCCACTCGAAAGCTTGTTTCCTGGCTTAGTCATATCTGCTTTTCTCAAGGGATTCCATTTCAGGGCTCTTCAATTTATTTTATGTGTGCACCCCAGGAGAAGCTCACCATCTGGGAAAAGCTATGACTCATCTGTCTACACTTGCTTAAAATAGTTAGGACTAATTTTTCAGTTTAATTGTTTTTTAAATAGGGAATTTATCAGGTATCAGTTTGTTTGGCGATTTAAGAAACTGTGAAAATAAATAACACAACAATCCAGGGGAAACTATTGTATTTTATTGTATATAGTTTTAACAGACTTTGGAGCATAATCAGCACCTTATTTGCAGTGTTGCCCACATATCTCCTCACTTACAGTGGAAGTTTGTCATTTCAAAGAAGGACCTGATTCACTGTGAAGTGCAGTGAGAACTGTCTTCTTACAGCAGGGGTTATTGAACTATTGACTTGTTGGTTCATCACAGATCAGGAAGCAGACGGGAATTGATTCTTACAAATCTTGCAAGAATAATGTGTATCCCTGCTCCCTTCAAGGCTTCTCAAAATCAAGTTTTTTCAATTTTTGTGTTGATTTTTTTAAGATTTTTTTTTTGCTGTCTCCTCTAATAATTCCATTCCCTCTAAGTAACAAGGTCCTTTCTTCTCTCTCTGTGTGTCACTGTCCAGATGAAAAAGAGAAAGCCAAGATTAACTCAGAGGAGCTGCAAATTAAAAAAGTGAAGAAGAAAAAGAAGAAGAAACACAAAGAGGGGGAGAAACACAAACGAGTGAAGATGTACCACCGCTCCTGCCAGACCATTTGTGCTGGTCTGCTTCTTCTCCCTTCTTCCTCTTCATCTCCCACCTCCTCTTCCTCAACCACCGATCCCACACACAACTCCTCCATGTCTCCGTTCAAGTCCCCGCTACCGGTTTACCCTTCACCTAACAACAAAACCTTACATCTCCTGCCCTCCTCTCCTCCTCTTGCCTCAAAATCCCTCTTTAACTCTTCTCTTCACGACACTCCCAACTCTCCGTCGTCCTCCATCACGACACCACTCCCTTCTACAGCCAAACAACAGCCGCAGTGCACCTATCCCGGCATGGCAGGTCTGGAGTTTGCCCCATACATCCACATAGAGCACCAGCCTAATGGAGGGGCTCTGGTGGCCCATGCCTACACCTCACAGCTCTCCTCTCTTTCAATGGGCCAGAGGCAGAGATTTGCCCAGGAGTTTGTCACCTTGGCGTTCAGCGAGGACTCATCCCAGGTACGGCATAGATATTGATCAGATTGATCCATGGATGCTGTGTTCAGTGCAGCATGATGCAGCTGCAGTATGAATGCAGTTAAATATGATTTCTTTTCTCCTATTCAAAACATCAACATTATCTAAAATACTTCACTGACCATGTTTTCCAGGCAGCTCATTATGTCATGGGGATCATCCATGGAGAAGCCAGCTACCTGCCTGATTTCTTGGACTACTTCTCAACCAAGTTCCCATCAGCTCCAGTCAAAATGGAAATACTGGGAAAGAAGGACATAGAAACCACCACTATGGCTAATTTCTACACTCAGGTTAGTCAGGCACCATCACACACAAAGAGGAGCATTGGTAAGACGGAGAACATGAGTGTGGGGGTAGATGGTCTATTTGGCAGCTCTGATGTTGTACTAAGTGTAATTTGAGGTGGTATGATCGAGGGCACACACTGTAACTGAAGTTCAACAGGAAGAGCTGATGGCATGATATCGCTAGAACTGTCTAGACAGCATTTATTTTTTATTTTTTTGGTGCCATTTTTAAACTTTCACTCTCACACGTGCACACAGTGGAGGCCCACCAAGAACTTCTCGGAAATTGTCACCAAAATGGATCATGTCATTTTCAGTTGCATGCCCAAAGATGGCCGCACACACATACACACCTTAGTTTCTGTTTAAAATGTGTCATGTTGCTGGCTCCAGTGTGGCGCAGGGAAAAGCTATAATTGTTAGTGAATGGAGTTTTGATACTGTACCTTTGTGACTGCTGTGTGCTTTGGTGTTTTTTTATGAATTCAGCATAGTAACAGTGCACCTGTGTGTGTGTGTGTGTGTGTGTGTGTGTGTGTGTGTGTGTGTGTGACTTTTGTATAAATATTGTGTTTTATGCATGGCTTGATCTGTGTGTCAGTATTTTGTCCATGTGAGCACAGTTCAAGGAAAATATAAGAGAGTACAGAGTACAGTCACTAAAAAGTACAGTGATTTCACATCTTGTGTCCAAGTAACCAGCACTTTTTGTTCTTGAAAAGAAAGATTAATGAAGGACAGCGGATGGAAAGGAAAGGAGAGAATAGGAAACTCAAGAGACGAATGAAGAGGTGGGTGGATGGAAGAAAAGAAAGATTTAGATGGAGTGCAAGTCGAGGGAGAGGATGAAGGGATGCTGGGGAAAGGCAAAAGATTGATAGAAGGAAAAAACTCAGTGACTGCTGTGTGTGGATAAAAAGTTGTATTGTTGTGGCTTTAACCATCTGGTTGAAGCATCTGCCTCCATCTTTCCTGCATCAAGCAGCTTTTGGCATTTATACAGATGTCTGATTGCTCAGACTAGATTACAACTTTTTAAATGATAGATGGGTCACACCTCTCGCTTCAGTGATACTTAATCTTAAGAAAGCACACCTGAAGTGACAGAAAGCAAGAGAACATTTTAGAGAGGAAAAAAAACGCTCATATTCCAAGTGAGAGAAGGCGTGAGAGCGAAAAGGTATATAGGGTGTGGATTTAAAAAAAAAGAAGACAAAGCTGAGAATAGGTGTTGATATAAAGAAAAGAAAGTGACAGTACACTAAGCAACTGAAGACGGGAAGTTATAGACTGTAAGACATGACTGCTGTCAGGCAGGTTGCAGGCTCACAGTGAGTCAGGTTAGAGAGTCAGAACCAACACAAAAGGTGTTTTTCTTCTTTTCTTTTCAAAAGCACAAATATAGGCATAGCTGTAGTGGGATGCGTCTCACCCACTCCTCAGCATACTACATGGCCTTTTGAGGACATGTGGAAAAACAAGGTGTGTGTGTGTGTGTGTGTGTGCGTGCGTGCGTGCGTGTGTGCATGCTGGCGATGTCCGTCTGGATTGTTTCTTCTGTGCACAGTGACACAGCTAGACCTCTTCATTTAGAGTTGTCCCATGTCTGTAGTTCACTAATGAAAAGCCTTTTGTTGCCTCAAACCTCCTGAGTGGCTTTGTATTGAGATACTGCCTGCTCTTTTTCAATGTGAGTGCAGGCAACACCGGCTACCACACTATGTGACTGTGTGTGTGACTGTGTGTGTGTGGTACTACATGGGGGAGAACAGTTTATGCTTTCTATCTCTCTCCTTCTAGCTATTTTTTTCTTTTTTTTCTTATTATGAAATATTCATTATGTTATTCTGTGTGTTTCTGTCTGTTTTGGCCAGTTTTGCCTCCACAAACACATCCCTGATCTCTGCGTGATCCTGAATAAATTAAATGAATGAATTAAACATCGAAATCGTCCGTTATCTACGTGGAGTTTTCCCCTCAAACCTGTGTCCTAAACTGTCCCTTTAAGAGTAGTGTTCCTTGCAGGGCTAACGTCATTGTCCACTGGTCTTGTTAATTTTTTTTCTCCCTCCAAGCTTTCAGCAGTGACCTTGGGAAGTAGACATACAGTCTACACACACACACACACACACACACACACACACACACACACACACACACACACACACACACACACACACACACAGATGTGACCATGCACAGCAATATATACACAGGCACAGGTGTGCACACAGATTAATGGTGTATCATGCACATTTTATGTTTCTGCTCTGGTGTTTGGCTCTCTGCAGTTTTTTGATGTGTATGTGTGTGAGTGTAGAACGGAAAGGAAGGAAAAGAAATTCTGCACGACGTAACTTGCTAACTCGTTTTTTTTTTTTTTTTTTTTTCTGGTTTGATAAGTCCTCCATGTGTAACTTACAGTGTGTGACAGTGTATGTTTTTGATGATCTAAATCCTAGTATTTTGTATTCTGCACCTGACTGAAGGCATTTTCACTGCTGGTAAGGATTATGGGAGATTACAGCACTCCATTTTCTCAGGGCAAGTACAGTCTGACAGACAATGTATGATGTGCTTGGACAGTGAGGTAATTTGGCCTTTCCTGTTTAGTCACTGAGTGTAATAATGTAGTTACGGCATCAGGAGATTAATACAAAGCCAAAGAACAGACTGCGGCTTGTTGTATTAAACTGTGCTCACATTGTGCCTGTCTGCACACTCATAGCCGTTTAAGAGCATTTACAGCTAACATCCACTATGTTTAGGGATATGACTAGAAAAACAAATGTCGTCTGTATCATCATCATTTAATGGATAAATTTGGAAACACAATACAATATGGAAAATTCTGTGGTTAATTTCATCTTAACTTTTCTGTCAGAGAAGTTAATAAAGTGATTTATTTCAGTGTCTCTTAGTGTAATGATTCAACAGGTTTTGATGCAACCTAATATTGTATCAGATCTGAGGCCAGTGTAGGTGTTTTCCAAGAATACAAAGATGAAGGAAAGTAAGAAAATAATATTTGTCTTACCCAATTCCACTGACAGCCAAAGAAGGAAGCTTTAAAATCTTGAAAAAACATTTATCCATTCATTGAATTATTGCATGAAACATTTATTTTGGATAATAATACCTGTGGATTCTGTCAGAAAGATATTGAGACTATAGAACTTATTTTCTTTCAGTGTAAACCTGGAGTATTCAGAATAAATAATAAAAAAATAAAAAAAATTGTGATAACTAATTAGATTTTGTTGGGTAAACATTTTATTGGTAGATTAAGTACCTAAAGGTCAAACCCCTAAATGAAGAAAGAGAAGAATTAACTAAATCTCCATGCAAAATATTAACTAGTGTGCCGACTTTATTAAGCATGGCATGTTGGGTTATTACAGGGATTAAGCAAGACTATAGCTAGCTCTTTGTCTCCGGAAAATCCCTTTAGAGTTTTCTATGCTCTCCATTTGACAAAAACAAGTTTCGTTTACATCAGTTGATTTGGTGTGTCCTGTCTGAAAGTTTCAGATCATTACTCAGATAGTTATGTGTTGATTTTATCTGGCTCCAGCTCCAGTCTCCTTCACTTCTGCTACGCTCTAACCTGGAGGCAGCATCTTTGCACTTGGCCTCCAAATATTCTACAAATCAGACTTTGACGTTGCATTAGTCTCACACTTCAGCCTTACAACCATGAAGAAGCAGGGACAGTCCTCAAGTCAACTCAGTTTATCAAGGAACAAATAAGGTGGAAAGCAACTGTTACATTACTTTTAATTCAGAATGTGTTTGTGCATTCACGTGCCTCTTTGTGGTTGAGCCATGGGAGAGATTATGTAAGAAAAGTGTGTGCGATTGTGTTTGAGGCACCAGTCAGCAGCCAGAAGCTTTGTTGTGACGCAGGCACAGTAATAGACTAATAGACTTAGCACTCTAGAGACTGAATGGGCATAATAAGTTAGAAAGAGAGGCACAGGGCAAAGAGAGGAAGAAGCAGACAGGCACGCAGAGGTCAGGAAGAGGTCAGAGAATGTAGCGAGATCATGTCTTGACATAAACTCAGCCGGAGAGAGTGAGAGATGAGTTGACAGTATGAAGGAAAACTTGTTACAGAATTAACAAGTGGGTGAACCAGAGACGGAAAAGAGAGCAGGAAAGAGAAAAGCTTGATCTAATAGACTTCCCATCGGGGACGCGAGTATTATCAGGGAAAGAGGCAGAGGAGGAGATGGAGACGCTGACAGACAAGAGAAAAATAGATAATCAGCAAGTGGAAAGTAGGGAGGCAGGGAGATGATCTGTTAAAAATATACTGCTTTTAGCCAAAGAAAGTGACAGCAGGGGAAAGATGACAGTTATGATAATTATATATAATAATGCTGGCTTTTTAATCTTGTGAATTTGTGGACCTGGAATACCAAATGAGCCTCAGTAAATTTAGATAACGATACAGAGAGAAAGAAGAAGTATTCACTGTTTTCATTCTTTTGTGTGCAGAACTTTTGTTGTTTGACTTGATAGTGTTCACTCGCTGTCTTATGTTTTGTCTCATGTCTTAGATAAAGCTTTGTTATCAATTTTAGCAGTGAAAGAAACGAGTAAATACGATGTTGGTCATGTGTTGTCACACATTTACCCTCGGTGTATTTATATGCACGTACACAGAGGTGAGGAAGGACTGGAGCATCTTGAAGAGCACTGCTCAGAGGAAGTCTCACATTTCCTGTTTCCTTGTGTTTGTCTTCACTTATTATAGACAAGCTCTGTGTGTGTGTGTGTGTGTGTGTGTGTGTGTGTGTGTGTGTGTGTGTGTGTGTGTGTGTGTGTGTGTGTGTGTGTGTGAATCACTGACAAATTTATCTGTTTATTTCAGGCAGAGGTAGTCTCCTCCTAATACTCTTCCTGTGATAGTGAGAGACTGTTCTCTTTGCAAACAACGTGGGGGTTATTCTGCAGTTAAATTATGCATGTGTAAACACACACACGCGCACACACACAAACAGGCAGAGAAAATAGACACAAGCACAAACAATTCTAAGTATGCAAAAAGATGAATGTATGCTCTCACAAATACATGCGCTAGCTGAGAAAAATGGTGGAAATGCACAAATACTTGTAAGCATGAAGGCATTTAAATCCACACAAACACATTTTCCTCTCAGTATCTAGGTCATTGACTCAGTGAGACTATTTAAAGTTGTGTTTATATGTGAGTGTGAGTATTTCAAGCGTCTAGTCATCATCATCTTATGAGGGTATTACACTGATGACTGTCAGGGCACTGATGCAGTGAAATAATGTGAACAAACACACACGCAGCTGTGAGGCTTGGCCTGCCCATGCACGATAAACTGATTAATTTTGTTAATTTATCATAGATTGAATAAATACAGATACACGGTTATTTGATGCACAGATTTTAATGGTTCAGGAGAACAACACATCACTTTAGACAACACACCTGCAGCATAGACAGGTTGTTTTATCCACTGAGTAATAACAACATATTCTACATTCTAGAGTCGAAATTAACAGTCAAATTATTATTTAGTCAATTGATTATTTATCGAATTTGTTTATCCTCAGATGTGGGGATTTGCTGCTTTTCTTTCTTTCAGATCATTGTAGCTTTGTGTAGCTTGTATCTTAGACTATCCCTTTGGGCTCTGGGAGAATGCAACAGGCATTTTAAGGTATTTTCTAATTTTATAGACTAAATAAAACACATATTACTGGTTAGAATAATCCATAGGTTAATGGGTAGTGAAATAACCTTTAGTTGCAGCCCAGCTACATACTAAAAACACAAGCCCATTTTCCTATGCTTGGTCTCAAAAGTTGTAATACTTGAATTCATTTTAAACATGACGTGATCAAAGTTGACCATGAAGACCTATAATTAGCTGTGTCACTTAATCCTGCCTGTGGTGACGAGTTGTTATTTTGATCTCAATTTTGAAAGAACATTTCACTGTCATTGACCCCCATAATCCTGTTTTTATGGCCAATCTCTACTCATTACCCTGCCCATATAAATAACCACACTACTGCACTGAGAACATTTCCCCCTATTAACAGCAACACCCTGGGGGAAATAGCTGCATCACACACACACACACACACACACACACACACACACACACACACACACACACACACACCTGAGAACTGCTTGGTCTTGCATGACTGGCCTCTTAGCAGCTGTTTGGGGATTTAGTGCCTTGCTCAAGGGCACACCTGGGAGCTGCCAAGCCTGTCCCCCTCAGTCTTTTTCCTACTCATTGTTCCTGTCTTCATTACTCCTCCTTTTCTTCCCTCCTCCCATCCTCTCTAACCTGGCCTCATCTCTCTTTCTCTCTCCTTGTCACATTCCACTCTCTCCTCTTCTTGTCTCTTTAACATCGCTTCCTTTTATTTATTCTTATCTGATGTCTCCTACTCAGTTGTCCTGTTTCTACTTCACCCATTTTCCTGTCCTTACTCCCTCTTCTCACCATGTTATCTTCATTTTCACCCGCATTCCCCTCACCCCTCCTTATTCCCCTTTGAGTTATTTCCATCTTTGCCTCCATTTTTTTCTAACTTTCTGTCTTCTCTGTCCCTCTACATTTGTTTCTTCTCTTTCACAGCTTGTCTTCCTAAACTTTCTCTCCTTCTTCCTTTCTCCCCTCTTCTCTCCATCTGTCTCTCTTTCTTTCTGCCCTGTTTATCCTCGCTCTCTCCTCCCTCTGGTCCATCTCTCTTCTCCCCTCTCTCTCTCTCTTTTTATCTCTGCCTTGTTGTCAAGTGGTGACTCACTAGAGGCGTGCAGCCAAGGATCTGGCCAACACACGCGCGCACACACACACATGCACATGCACATGCACACACACACACACACACACACACACACACACACACACACACACACACACACACACACACACGCGCGCACACACACCAACACATGCACACACATCCTGATCAGCCAAGAGTACAGCATGCAGGCCACATGCTGCACGTACTGCACACACAAAGACACTGTTGATGGCCAAGGGTATGGGAGATGGGTGAGGCACACGCACACACACACACATAGACAAACACACACACGCACACATATGCAATGCTCTGTCAGCCAAGTGAAGAGCAGCAAACAGTCTGTTGAGTCACACCGGTGGAACAGAATCCGCCAACACTCTAACACACACTCTCTGTTTCAGTACCCAGTGATGATTAACAGGTTCTTCTCTCTTTTTCTGGACAAAGTCACACTTTGTGTTCCCCTGCATTGTATTGCAATCAAACAATATTAAATGCATATATATTATATAAACATCAATACTCACAAATACATACTGTATTCAAAAACATCCTGATGTTTTATATACTTTAAGTACCAGTTGTTTGGAACACTTTCTGTTTATTCATACATGAATACATCTGTAATACCAGTTAAAAAGCATGCACTTTTAATAAGGAAAGTCCAAGTCCTACGGCAGGTGTCCATCACAACTAATGAGCTCTCACATTTGGCCACAGACTTTTCAGACTTTGCACCGATCTTCTTCTTTTTTTTCATGGGAATTTCTGAATCATTCATCTCAGATATTGGCCACAACCAGTTCGCAAATTCAACCTGTCAAAAAGGGCTGCAAGCAGCAGACATAGCCTCGTTTTAAGGTGTCCCATGTCAAAAAGATTGGGAACACTGCCCCTAGAAGATGACTGACCAAAATATCAAGTATGTTTTGTTTATGATCGAGATGACCAAGAGGGGGTCAAGGCCAGAGAGGGGCTATTAAACCGCGATGTGCCACCCCTCCCACAACAGAAGGGACATTGAGGCTCCATATTGACCCTGCCGAAGGTGCGGCCACTCAATAATAAGATTGTATCTGTAATATCTTGAAGATTCAGTTTACATTTCTCAGATGAAGAGAACAAATGACCATTAAACTGTGGTTGAGTGTCACATTTTTCACAATGAAACACTGTGTGCTGTTTTGTTTTCTCCTGTGGTCCTTGTTAGAGAGGAATACATGTTTCTTCATTTGTCAGGACTGCAGTCCTTTGGTTTTATAATAATATAATGGTGATTTACAGTTTGCTGGGTAAACTGATTTGAAATCACATAATCTAATAGTGTTTGCATTCTCTTAGCCAGACACTCAGGATGTAATGTGAAAAGTTTGCTGCAGTGTTTTTATTCACCTGCACTTGTCGCCTCCTCCTCTCAGGAAATACAAAAAATTATATATTTATTTGTCAAGAGACTGAACTCCTGCAGCTGCTGTCTGAGTGAACACAGCAATCAGCCTCGCCTGCTTGCTGTTAGAGTAACATTACAACATCACTGTCTTATGTGTCTTTTTTTTTAAATTTCTTTTCCCTTTGATTGCTGCAGGTGAAGAAGACATACAGTCACGGCACATACAGAGCCGGGGCAATGAGACAAATCAGCCTGGTGGGAGCTGTGGACGAGGAGGTCGGGAATTATTTCCCAGAGTTCCTCAGCATGCTGGAGGAGTCGCCCTTCCTGAAGGTGAGTCAGGACAGGATGAATGACAGTAATCCTAAACAGCAACAGAACCTTGCATTTAAATAGGAATGGATGAAGAAGCTATAATTTATATCATGATTCTATGCTGAGAGGTCAAAGGAAATGAATCTCATGACTGTATAGTTTTATTTTTTTGAAAAAGGACCAATTATTTCCTAAAACATCTGTTACTTAAATAGTGCATTTGTTAGGAGCGACTTTCAGCACAGGATTTATACACACTATGCGTTATTATTGTCTAGTGAGTATTTAAGGCCGCAGAACGATGTATGTGGGACTGAGCCGAAAGAAACTACAACTACAATGTTAATGGAAAAACATGTCGCCCAATGCAACAGTGTGGCTCACTGATATGCTTTTAGTTTTTGGATAGCAATAGAGCTCCATGTCACAGAGTAAAAAGAAACAGAGACAATACTTTTTTATCTGAACCCGGGCTGCTGCGATTAGGACTGAGCCATCATGGTACACATTCTACCAGGTGAGCCACCGGGACGCCCTCTACAGACAATTCTGTAGAGGGGAAAAACTGGCTAAAATGTTATTACGTCAGTGTCCCTCATCTGTCTGAGTATTTGGTCTTACACCTCCTCAGGAATATGAGGAAAATGTTCTGACCATCTACTGCTTCTCTCTCTGCTCTCTTCACTTATGTGTCACTATCTGATTCAAGAAATCTAAACAAACCTCAGCTGGGCGTGCTCTCTGATTGTTGAACAACACTGCACAATGTTAGGGGGATTAGTCGAGATGTTATGTGACAATGTTCAGCTGGCAGACACTGTCACATAACACCTTTTCAATGAAATGTAAAGTAGGCTTTAGCTACTCCACTCACAGTTAACTTGCTCATACCTCATAAATAGTCTGCATTGTAAATGTGCAGTAATGCAGCTAGAAAACTAGATGTGCCCAAATATTTCAATATATTTACACCATAGATTATTTGGAAATGACACAAACTAAACAGTGATTTGATGCAGCTTCCAGCTTCAGCTCAGGAAGTTGCTTCTCTTTTTTAGAACGTCTGTGCAGACACAGACCACCAAAACGCTGTGTTTAGTGCTGTCCCTGAAATGCAGGCGTGACAAGCTTTTCTGCTGTTTGCCATCCTGTGCTGACACTTCAAATCTCCTGCATGCAGTGTGGAGGAGTGGTGTCGTATGCTGAATATCAAAAGCCACACATCCTCTGGCGCTTCCTATCTGTCGAGAGTTTTGGCTCTGATTTGTCACCGTCTGAAACATCTCGGGTGCCAGTGACAAATTTCGCCACGGGGACGGTTTCTGCTCATGAGATTTCTTTTTAGGGACTCTGTGGAATAAATAAAATACTTGATGAAGTGGTTAACAACTTAAAAAAAAAAAAAAGTGAAAGATGTACTGACATATTGCTTTGATTATATTCCCTCATGTCCTCCTTTTTTTCTCACGTTCCCTTCTTTTCCTCTCATCTGTCTGGCCGCAGAGGACTCTTCCATGGGGAACGTTCTCCAGTCTGAGGCTGATGAGTCCCACAGAGAGCGACGACGGTCCCATAATGTGGGTCAGACCAGGAGAACAGATGATACCTGTGGCTGATATACCAAAGTCCCCTTTTAAAAGAAAACGGTGAGCACACTACAGCTTACTGCACATTATATAAACACACTCAGATAAAGCAAGCCAAGTTTTTGAATCCCCTTTAAACACTGCTGTGAGACAGAGACAGAATTTGCAGGGATTTTGGTCCCTATGAATTTTGTTTGTACTGCCTACAAGTCTCAGTGGTGTGTGTGTGTGTGTGTGTGTGTGTGTATGTGTGTTTGTGTGTGAACCTTAATGAGCCAGCTTGCCTCTGTACTCTCCACACAGCACATGAGGGCTGATTATGAAAAAAACAGTAACAAAACACACTCGCACATTTTGAAGGCAGCAGCCGCAATAGCCACACGAAGCTTTGTTGTAGCCCAGCAGCTCCGGATGAAGCAATTACACCCTCTGTGTTTGTCTCTGTCACAGTGCCATTGTTGCTTACACAGACACAAACACACACAATATCTGTTTGAGACCATGAGAGAAATGATGTTTGTGTGTGTGTGTGTGTGTGTGTTTGTGTGTGTGTTTGTGTGTGATGTGAGCGGTATGTGGCTCACCACTCAGATGAGATCATCGCTATGTTAATAGAGCCGACATCAGACGCTACTTCACATGGCAGCCAGCCAAGCACAGGACAACACACACCACACACATTCCTCCCATGCTTCATTTACTTCTCTCTTGTCTCTGTTGATTGGTAATCATATCAGTGCTAATGTTTTGGAATTAATTTATTTAATTTTTGCTATAGTTGATTTATTTTAGCGGAAAAAATAAGTTAATCAGTAGAGAAGATATTTGTTGAAGTAATTTTTCCAAGCATGAATACAAACCATTCCCTAATTCCTGCCCCTAAATAATGAGGATTTACTGCTGTTCTCTGTTTTATATCATAGTAAACTGAATATCTTCAGGTTTTGGACACAAAAAAGGACATTTGAACACATCACTTTGGGCTTTAGGAAATTGAGATGGTAATTTTTTCTGACATTTCTGACATTTTCTGACATTTTATTTACCAAGCTATTAAGCGATTGATCAAAAATTAATGATAATGAAAATATGTGGTAGTTGCAGCCCTTATTGATTTTTTTGTCTTTAGATTTACCCACGAAAGCTTCACTCAGTCAGACTTTTCTGGCTGGAAAAAGAAGAAGTAATAAAGGAAACATACTTGCTTTTTAATCAGCGACTGCACCTGAATCCAAACTATAAATACATGCAGTATGTCTCACATTTATACATGCGTCTAGACAGTGTTTGAAGGGGGTTGCTGTCAAGAGAGCGTGTGTCAGTGTGAATGACTGTCAGAGACACTTGTGTAACAATTGGGGCTGAAAGTATCTGTTTTTATAGAGACGCATTGGACGGCTGGGGAGGGCGAGGTGGTTTAACTATTCCCTCCTCTCCTGTCTTTCGTGTGCGGTCTCATCCCATCACATGATCATAAATCGCCATTAGAGACAATCACAAAGTGACATCTACAAACTGAGGTGTACTTTAATCAGTATTTCCCCCTTTTGTCTCCAGCATCTCTCCTCAGTTGCTCACTTCCATCCTTCTTCAAGCTTTCCTTTTTTTTCCTCCTCTCCTCCCTCCTTTCACTGTCCTTGTCCTCTTGCTGCCTCTAAATATCGGCCCTGTCTGTCTCTCCCTGTTTCTCTTACAATCTATCTTCTGTTTCCTCCTTGTGACCTCTCTTTCCTGCTTTAAGTTGATTTATTTCAGTTACTGTGCTGTTACTTTCAAGAGGACTATAGGTGTGTTTACAGAAAGCACATTTAATATGTCATAGGAATGTATGTCTGTCTGTGTGTATAAGGTAAAAGACATAAAAAAAAAACTGCTGTGCAGAAATGAAGTAGAAAGAAAAGGAGGACGTGATGTTATTTGCAGTGAGACCTTGTCTGCAGTTTGACCATGTGCTGTGTTGAAGGCTGCTTGTGCATGGGGAACATCTCCTCACAGCGTTGCTTCTTTTTCCTCGTGGTTTCAGCGAAAAGGTCAAGCTGTTATGCATTTCTGTCAGCGCTGAGACTCGCAGTCTGAGAATTCAGCTTGATTACAGTGGTCAGATGATGAAAATAAACCAAAATATTTCAGCTTTTAGTGAAAGAGTGCCGTGCTTCCGGAGATTGACAATAATTGCATAGTAACGGCAGCAGCCTTGGCCAGCACCAGTTGCAAACCAGTTGCTGAACATGCTGTTCCGTGCATTACGAATGACAATCAAGATGGGTCCGTTGAGAACCTGGGGGCTGTCAGCAAGATGTTAACAGCAGCCTGCTCAGTCAGGACATTTGTTTAGCTAAAGGGTAGAACTCAACAACCAGCAGATTACTAGATTACTCGATCGACCGAAAATATGTGGCAGCAACTTTGACTGTAGATTTTGTCTCCCTACACTTACAATGGAAATGCATTGTAGCACCTGACTGACATTAGGTGGGTGTTCATTCACCTGTTTTTATGCACATTTTCAATTTCAAACCTGCATGGAAATGTCAAAAATTAAAAAAATGTATAGATTACTTGCGACATCTTACTCACTTACTGCTTCTTGTTGCAGCCTTTTCTAGTTCAACAGTTTAATGGTAAAACAGGAATAGATGGAAATGCATATAAATTTGCATTTTCTTTTGCTTATTTTTGCTGATTGAAATTTTGTTATAATTTGGACTAAATTAGGATGAAAACCTAGCTATTATAGATTTAACAGTTAATCAATTAATCAGTAAAGTAATTAACAATCAAAATAATCATTAGTGGCAGCCCTAGTCATAAGTTTTCTGCAGATAAGTACATTAAGCAGGTGTGTGAAATGTAAATGTGATATACATCTTTCTAGGAGTGTGCTGTAGCTTTAAGATGTACATTAACAGTATTTGTCGTCAGAGGTGGTTTCCTCTGTCTCCCCTTTGTCCTTCTCTCCCTCCTCTTTATCCTCCTTTTACTGCCTCATCCCTCTTCACCCCACCTTTCTCCTTCTTTATCCCCCGTTTCCCTCCATCATCTCCTCTCTCTCCCCTTGCCACTTCCCACTTATCTGTTCTTCTTCCTCTCCTCTTCTCTTTCCCTATTTCTTTTTGACCATAAATGCAGAGTAGTCTGTCTTGGTGACTTGGTGGTGCAGACATTTGCGTACCCGCTGTACATACTGACAAACATGCCAGAACAATGGGACCTCACATATAAAGGATAGTTAAAGAGTTACATGAGATGATAGACTTTGAATATCACTATAGATGTGCACGTTCAGCACTCCTCCCTCTACACCCTCTTCTTTTCACAGTTTCACTTACCAGCTTTTCTGGTTTTACATTCATTACTGTCAGCCTGCAGCTCAGACACACTGAGCTGTGCATGTGTGTGTGCGTGTTTTGTGTGTGTGTGGTGTGTGTGTGTGTGTGTGTGTGTTTTAATCTTCCCCTCCACTCTCTAATATTTTCCTCTGCTTCTTTCTTCCTCTTCCATCAGCTCCTGCCTCTCCTCTTATCTCTGAATGAATGAATACACAATTCAGTGTTCAGCACGGGTAGTCTCGCTGCTGTTCTGTCTCTGTATGTGTGTGTCTGTGTTACGCTCATGTAGGGATCTCTCACAGACTGTGTGTGTGTGTGTTTATACTCTTGTTTGAATCTGACTGCAGCTCCAGTGTGAGTCACTGATCCAGTAGTGAGCTGACTGCAGTACTTCCATTGTTTGGCAACACAGCTCATTTTTATGCTTTTACTCGTTAGCCTCTCAGTCTGTGCGCACAAAGCCAAGAGTGTACGTGTGTGTTTGTGTTTGAGCATTGATGTGTGTTTATTCCATTTTACTTTCCATTATTTATTCTAAATGCAACCTCTCCCTGATGATTACTGATTTTATTTTGATTTTTCATTCTAATTTTCTCGCTACCAGTATTTTGTGTTTTGAATCTAAATGAACACTTTATTGATCATGCAAGGAAAGTGATTTTACCACCAGCGAGCATGAAAAAGTAAAGAAATTGTGGAGGAAATGAAGGATAAAGATATTGGCCTAAAGTGAGGAAAAGCTCAGGTGTAGTTAATGATATCTACAGACAAGAAATGTGACTTTACAAAGTGCTGTGGGCATTCTTTTTGAATTCCTCTTCCAATTTTAAAGTGTCTATCAGAGTTTCTCAGATTCTCAGATCACGTCTTCAGTTTGAATTTTGATTTTCCATACCAACAGTCCAAAATATGTCCTCAAATTACAGTGTGCAAAAGATTTCCAATAAGTGACCGACATTTACATAAAACACAGAAAAGATGCTAATTTACACATTTAAGAAATGGCGACCAGAAAATGTTCGACTTTTGCACTCGATACAGGACTCAATCAATCCACTGTAAAAATAGTTGCTAATTAATTTTTTGATGATCAAAAATGAAACACACTCAGTTAAGATTGATAAAATACTAGAGTAGATCCTGAATACACTGCAAGGATGTTTCATAATGTCCACATGAATTCACCCTCCCAACATCCTCTCTGCTCCTCGTGTCGCACTGAGGATGACAACAACACCAGCAGTCTGTCTGGTGCTTTTGCTTTGCACAGCAGACAGGAAACAAATAAAAGAAACAAATAGAACTAGAAGAATGAGCAGCCCACACACCTTTAGTCATTTTTCTACTTTAGACACCAGAGACGCAGAGGCAGGGGGGAAATCTTCATGAAACTGTGTGAGCACTTGTGTGTGTCTTCCATTTCTCTGACGGAGTGATCATTCCTGTCCTTCTGTAGCTCCACCAACGAGGTGAAGAACCTGCTGCAGTCGCTGCCCAGGACCAGCGAGCCCAGAGAGATGCTGTTTGAGGATCGGACTCGGGCCCACGCTGATCACATCGGTCAGGGTTTCGAACGTCAGACCACGGCGGCCGTTGGGGTGCTAAAGGCCGTATGCTCCGGAGAAGGGTAGGCAGTGAAGCAACACATGGTCACACTTTGGATGTCAGACCGTTGGGTGCACGTACACTGTAGATGGCTGATTGTTTAGAAGCAACACACGCTGTCCTCACTGACTGACATCATACAATCTCCCTTGTTTTCAGCTCGGAGCCTCCTCGTGTAACCAAAGACGTAGTGTGTTTCCATGCCGGTGATTTCCCTTATGTAGTTCAGAGGCTGCAGTTGGACTTACATGAACCCCCGCTGTCTCAGGTGTTACATTACACACACACACACACACACACACACACACACACACACAGAAGGCATGTCAATAGGCACTGCTCACTTATTAGATTTAGCCCAGTATAATCATCCTTTTAACATCCCCAAATTAGACACACAATTATCCCACAGTGTAACCCTAACATAACACTTAATACCCAACACCAGGTGAAGGGGAACATTAACGTAAACTGATGTTGTTTGCTGGCACCTGGTGGAGTGAAAATGAACTGCAGTGTTATTTCACTAATTTATTATTTGCAATTAATCTTAGGTTAAGTTCCCATGTAGACCTGTGTAGCTGATTCCACACAGTGACACCGTGACACTGCAGGTTGCTTTCGAACACAGCCCATCTCCTCAAAATGAAGTATGACACAAGGAGCACGTCACATGTCGGTGTAACGCTACAGCATCAGTGATGAGAAACCGTGTTCATCTTTTAAAAATCCCTATGTTGTTTTTCCAGCTGTATAGCTCATCTTCATTCTCTTCTTATAAATATAAGGTGTTGCTAGCGATACATAAATAAATGTAAGGTACCAGTTCACTGCTTGGCTGAGAAAAAATTCTGATTTTCACATTGCATATTGTTTAATCTTACATTATGTTCAAATTAATGAATTGCTTAATTGAATGTAACAATAGAGCTTTTTGAGTTTAAAGTAGGGATTCAGGGTTTTTTTTAACAATGAAACTTATCTATTCTCCTCCTCTCTATTCTTAAGACGGATTTACTGAACTGACTAAAGGTTTTAAAAAATGAGAAAACTTTAAATTCTTCTTATATTGATATCGAGCTTCAGAGTCAGTTCTTAAAATAGATGTTAGTGTCAAAAGATGGGTGTTTTATTCTGGACTGCACCTCTTTATTTCCTCCATCTAAACCCTCGTGTCCTCCTTGTCTCCAGTGTGTGCAGTGGGTGGATGATGCCAAACTAAACCAGCTGCGTCGCGAGGGCATCCGTTACGCTCGCATCCGCCTTTGCCACGAGGACATCTACTTCATCCCCCGCAACGTGGTCCACCAGTTCAAGACTGTATCTGCCGTCTGCAGCCTGGCATGGCACGTCCGCTTAAGGCAGTACCACCAAGGAGAGGCAGACGAGGAGGAGGAGGAGGAGGCGGAGGAGGAGGAGGAGGAGGAGGAGGAAGGAGATGTGAAGGAAGAGCAGAAGGAGAAGATAGTTGAGTCGAAGGAGAAGGAGACAGAAACCACAGAGTTGGGGGTAAAAGAAGAAGAAGAGGAGAGGAGGAGAGAAAAGAAGTGTGAGAAAGGTGCAAAGGAGAGGATAAAAGAGGAGAATGAGGAGGCAGATGTGGCAGAAAACAGAACGTTGCCAGCTGTCAAAAAGGAGGAACGGGATCATCATCGTCCTCACTCTCATCCTCAGCATCCACCTCTGTTGCCTCAGCCTGCTCGCTCAGTGGACTCAAACGTGGGCGGTGCCAGAGACAAAGAGGAGGAGACTGAGAGGTTAAAAGGAGGAGCAAAACTCAAACCGCAGGATTCACCTGCTGCTAAGGTGAAGACAGAACCTCCAGCTCCTCCTCTTTGCAAAAATAAATCACCTTCGCCTCTCCCTCTGTCCCCTCCTGCCTCTCGTCATCCTCCTCATCAGGACACAAAACCCAAAGTATCATCAAAGCCCCATCATCATCATCATCACCACCACCACCACCACCATCACTCAGACAACAGAATGACGTCTTCCAGTACAGCATCCTCCTCCTCCTCTTCCTCTACTTCTCATTCAGATCCCAAATCACCTCGTTCTCCATCTTTTTCTAAGTCTTCCTCCTCCTCCTCTGCGCCTTCAGCTGGTTCCACTGATACTCCTCCTTTGCGCTCCTCTTTTGCTGCTCCCAGTCCGTCTTCTTCTACCTCCTCTTCTGTTCCTGGTCTGTCCACATCTTCCTCCACGTCAGCCTCCGCTACATCTTCCCTGAGTAGTCCCAAGCCTAAAGTGGACTCGCATCTCTCCACACTCCCTCCTTCCACCATCTCGTCGTCTTACCAGCCGCCTCCCTCCTCTCAGTCAGACCAAGCGAAGGACAGAGACTCACTACGTCCGAAGGCAGACGCTGATTCAGACACACGGACACAAGTGCAGTCAGAGGTTCGAGCATCACAGGGCTCACCTGCTGTGGGTGTACACACACACACCTCCCAAGCTGACGCACGGACACACACAGTAGCTGACACACGGACACAAACGCTCCCAGAGAAATGGACTCACAGTTCGGACTCCAGGACGTCGGCGGATCCACAGATACGTGCGACCCAGGACTCCGGGAGGCAAGGAATTTACATGCAGCAATACACACCGCAGCATCTCCCACCTCCTCCTCACCTCCCTCAGATGCTTCCCCCTTCCTACTCCCCTCTCCTGCCACACTCCCACCTCCCTCATAGACCTCCAATCCTCCCCCCAAATCAGCTGTCCAATCCCTCCCTCCCTGCACAGCCACAGACTCTTAACTCTTATCTGAGTCAGAAACCACCTCCCCATTCGGTTCACATGAGCCAGCTTCACCTGCATCCTCCACACCAACCAAACATCACCACCCAGTCTCAACCGTATTACCAGCCTCCCCTGATCCCCTCCCCGCCTCATCCAAACACTCCTCTCACCAGCTCCCAGTCTCTTCCTCCTCACCTTTCTCACCATCACCAGTTCGCCAAGACCTTCTACCCTCCTCAGCACCCCCACTTCCCCTCTCACCCCTTCCTCCCCCCTCAGTCTTTCCTCTCTCAGCCACCAGGCTCTTACCCGCTACAACCGCAATACCAAACCTCAGCACCAGCGCAGGTTCAGCTCTCTCTGTCACAGCCTTTCCCCCATCCCCCTCCTCCTCCTTCCTCCTCGCAGACCCTGCCTCCCCTTCCTCCTCCTCTTCCCCCTCCTCTCCCCCCTCAGCCTTGCCCCTCTGTCCTCTCCCCGCCCCCAAAGCATGAAGAGGAGCGGAGACAGATTTTATAGTAGTTTTTGTACATAATGATGCTGTTTTTAAATGACTGTATATGTACAAGGTTTTATTTTGGTTGTGCTGTTGTAAAACAATGTAAAAAGGAAATAACGGGGAGGACAGTGAAGTGTATCGGTATGGACACAGATTCGTAGTTTATAAAGCAGAGTTGGACTTTATTTACCCCACACCTCTTGACTGGACTGGTTTAGACTGTCCTGATGCTTTGGTTGTGCTCTGGTTCAGAAATATTAAGCAGTTGTTGCATGTACTGGTAGTTTTGGCCTTTAGTGAAGTATGGGCACGCCAAAATCTGACACTGAAGAAGAGATTTTCCAGGTTCAAGTCTGCCAAACTGCTGTCGTTCTTTTGAAGTGAGCATAGCCCTTTTGAATATCAGAATATCTGTGAGCCGTCAGAGGTAGGAAGTGTCAGATTTGTGACAGATATTTATATAAAAAAGGTCATGACGACGACCTTTTTGTGAAACTTGCAGCTAATGCTTCCAGTTTGTGGCTTTTTTTCTAGTATATTCTTTGTGCCCAAGACTGTTTCTGGAATAATGATGGGTCAAACTGATATTATACAATACACAAATGTATTGATGTGATATCACTACATTTCCTCAACTATATTGTATCGATACATCTTAATCAATACAGTATATTGCAGTAATTTTCCCTAATATTGTATTTTGAGCAATAATGCTCCGCAATAAGCTGCTGAATATAAACCTGCATTTCCCAGTTATTGATGTGGTGACAAGTATCAGTATTTTTATTCAAATTTCAAAGTGATTGATACACAGCCAGTAATGTCCTGTTGAATCATGTTCATTGAGTCAGCCTCCGTGAGGAGTGATTAAATGTAATTAACAGGTATCTTAAATGATTCTTCTAATCAGTTGCAGTGTCTTATTGCCCAAGAAGAATATTAGTGCAATTAAATGAAAAGAATGCCCCGTTTAAAATAGGACTGAGTAGGGTAAGCTACAGGCTACAGCCAGTAGCACTGTAGTCAATTACATCATAAGAAGAGTTGCAATTTGAAGTATTGAAATGATCTTGTACCCGTAGCCCTCAACACCAGTGGCAGAGCTCTCAGTGTAATTTCGCTGTGTTTTTCAGTGTCTGTTGGATGTCTACCAGGGTCTCCTAATTTTGGAAACTGAGCACTTGCTGGTCAGCCAGGGAAGAATTCAACCCAGCCAAGGCTGTTACACAGAAAGGCCTTGAGAGTCTCAGGAAAAACTATTCAGGACACATCCACGAATACATTGGTCTCCTGAGGAAAAAAAACCTCAAAATCTTAATCACTGGCTAAAACCTGATCCATTGATTTTACTGGAGTTCTAAGTAATCTTTCAGGGTCATTGAAATATTGTTCAATCTGCAACATTATATTAGCACCTATGCAGCTACATCAAGAGCTTGCCATGAGGTAGAGCAATATCATACAGATTCAGTATGTGAAGACTTCCCAAATGTGACTCAGTACGGCACTTTGTAACACAAATACATCAGCTGCAGTTTAACGACAGTTGATATTATTGAAAACACATTGGGTCATGTCAGCTTATTAACAATTTCAGGTTCTTCCAGGATTATTGTTTTAATACATTCAGGCCTCAGCAATTCTATGATAGAACTTTTTATTCTGTGTGGACACTTTGAAAACAGATGGTACACTGTTGAGAGTTTCATTCTCAAAGCACTGTTTATCTATTTACCTGAAGTCCAGTTTCTCTACAGTGTGGAGCATCCTGTCTATAAAAATGTTTTATTTATCAACCAGGGACTGAAGTGAACTCCTGTGTTTAAAACTACAATAAATTATTGAAATTCTGTTTTAGCAACAGCTATGAAGACTGTATGTTTTTTCCAAGTATCTGATTTTAGGATTGAACTCTTCTGTCTCAGTGCTCATCCCACAGTTGTGGAACTTTTGTTGTTGAGAGAAACTTGATTTTTTCTTTTTTTTTTGTTATTGATGTCTTGATTTGACTTAATCGCTATTGGAGTACAGCCCATCTGCTAATGTAGCCCACATCATTTCCCCAGTGCCTGTCCTTAACTGTGAACTACTAAATGGTCCAGAGCCATATAGAGAAGGAGTTCTGCCCTTTCGTGGAAGTTTTTAGGAGTCCAAGTTTTAAGTTTTCACTGGAAAATGAAAATGAAGCCTTAAATTGGTCCCTAAAGCCGCTGAAAACTCTCCAAATATCTGCGGTTTAAGTTGGGATGGTTCAGTGGAATGATATCCTGAAAGCAGGGTTGTGTTTTTCATGATTAGTCTGACCACAAGCCGTAGCTTCAGCTCTCTTGGTCAGTTTGCCTCATAGGACTGAATTTCAGAGACAGAACTCTTCACTGTGTGGCTCTGGAGAGAGCTAGGTGATTAAGCACTTGATGCCAGTTGCAAGGCGCTCTGCAGCTCTTTTTATGCTTTGGGGTTTCAGATGTTACAAAAACATGACAGGAACTTATATATTTTTTGTACAAATGTGACAAAAATTAAGGTTGAAAACAAAAAAAGTCTTCAGGGGCTAGTGATGTTTTCACAGAATTTATTTATCTCAAGGTTTTGGTTTGGTCTTTTTTTCTATTTTGTTTCTGTGATTTTTAACTGTCAGCACTGTAGTGTACATAAGAAGTTTTGTAAAGAGGAAAAAACTTGTAGTGTGGTTTCTACTTTAAATATGAGCCGAGCTAATAAAAGGTTCAATGTATGAAACTATTGGGGTAAGAATTGATGCTTATTGCTCTGTTTAAGAGCATCTATGTTTAAAAATGTGTACTTTCAAGAATTAAATTGTTCGTGTATTCTTGAAATTTAGACATTTACAATGACATTAAATAACGAGTCATTTTATGTATGGATTATGTCATTTTGTGGCTTTTTATGCCCTTATGTGAGAGAGAGGGGATGACATGCAGCAAAGGGCCACGTGTCGGATTCAAACCCGGGCCGCTGCCAATGGTACGCACTCCACCAGGCGAGCCACTGAGGCGCCCCAATGTATAGATTATGGATATGGGGAACGGGGACAGAACCCAAAATGGTTAAGAAAAAAAAGGTCAACATTTTGACCACTAGGAGCACTATGGAGCAGTGTTTTTTCAAGTGGGTCCCTTTTTGTTGAGATAAAATATAGACTATAGCAGCTTTAAGATGTAAGATTTATATCACATTGATATTAGATGTACTTGGATTCACCACTTTACTGCCTGCCTTATGACAGAAGCAGCTTTGTTTGTAAATGTGGTGAGTTAAAGACCAGAGACACCTGTATGACTTTAAAGGCACCAAAAGGCCATTCCCCCCAGTTATTTCTAATTCTAAGAGACTACACCTCTGATGTATACCTGCCTGTGTTTTCTCTCTCTGTGTTTCTGTTATGCAAGCCGCCCACTCACTGCAGTCTGCAACAATGAACTCAGCAGTTTCACCAGGCGAGATGTGAGCAGACAACACATATACGCCACAATGCAGTAGCCCCATAATACGGGGCTGGTGTGTGTCAGGTCAAATACAACTCAAAACAGCCTTTTTCCCCTCATTTCATCCTTTCAGCTCTCTCTCACACACACACACACACACACACACACACACACACACACACACACACACACACACACACACACACACACACACACACACGCACATACACACAGCGGGAATGCCAGAGGAGCTCAGCTGACCTTTAAAGGGTGGGAGTGGGAGTGAGGAAGGAAGTTGGAGCAGGGACAAAGAAAGGGTTTTTGGAGGGAATACTCGGAAAAACCTCATTGAACCGCGTGAATGTGGCGCGCACACAGACTGTACAGTCTTTGAGCGTACACTGCTCATTGCTTGGGGTTTGATTGTCAATTGCAATGGTACAAATTACCAAGAAACAGCACTCAACATCAGGTAAGCTGTGAAATTAACATCAGGTTGAGTACTTTTCATACCCCTAAAACACTTGGCAGATCTTTGCATCCACCCCGTTTCTACTGTCTCTACTCAACTCTTTCTGAGGATGGCCGATGATAAAGGTGTGGTGTCTGACACAAGCTGTTTCCACTTTGGAAACTGGCTCGAGACTGCATCCCCTTAAAAGCCTTCAGTAAGTGTGCCCAGTACTGTGCTTTTTATAAATGAGTTCTCCCCATAATTTCAGTTCCTCTAGCGGACATTTTCCGGCTGCTGTTAATGGTGGTGTCAGTGCAGCTTGGACTTGGAACAGAGATTGCAAACTGGAAGCACTGATCTCACACAGTTACGCATGTGAACATTAAAGTTCTGTAAAGTCATAAACGACATGTTACAATATTTAAAGAGAGAGAACAGACAAAGGACTTCAGTGTGCTCTGTTTGCATGTCAGTGGAGCTGAAGTGGTTCACAGCTCATTTCAGGTCATGTCCCAGAGGGATTTTCCCAAACCCCAATTTTTGTTTTGCATCGTGATGTGACTAATGCGATCCTTGTGTACATGGAAATACTTGCATATGAATTTGCACTGTTACAACGACTGCTAAAATGACCATTTACCAGACAAACGCACCACAGTGTTCATGTAAATCGAGTCATTTATTGTTCAAACACATGCATGCCATCTCATTTTCATGTCAACATAGTGCAAAGTAATGCGAAGAATGTATCGGAAATACTAATGAACAATCACATGGCACAAAAACCAATTTCAGTCACGCACAGTGTCAGCTGTACCATGAAGTTGAGCTGTGAATCAATGATCAGCTTCGCACATTTTAAACTGCTGGTAGAAAATATTCAGATGAGCTGTGTCGGTTTGACAATTAACACTGTAATAATAAAACTTAACATACAGTAGGAACATGATCTTCATCTCTTAACACAAGTCATTTGCAATAGATTTTCCATATCAATCCGAATGTAAATCACAGAGTACATTTAAAGTTAAGGGTTTTATGACCTTGGACCTTGCACCTAATAACAACTTCATATTTATTTTCATGGGACACATGATTTCAACGGTACAAAAGAGATATTATACAAGGCAGAGGGGGGGGGTAGCCCGTAGGTAAAAAGAACATCACAAGTTGTTCCAAGAGCCTTTTTGTCCTGAGCAATTTCTTAAATGATCTGTTATTTATTCCTTTGTGTGTAAGTAGCCAAACAAGCTGTTCTCATCAACACTTTGAAAGTTAATTTATAATTTGTAAAATCAACCAACAACCCTCCACAGCTCAGGAATGAAAAGACAAAGTGTCCGTGCGTAAATACAGCCAAACAATATCTGCATTTAACAAAATTTACACTCCATGATTTGGTACCAAGAGTGATAGTTATGTTATGCAGCTTAAATAAAGGAAGTGCAGTTACAATTCACCAAATACTATTCACTTCCCTCTCTGTGTGGCGTTCCTTACAAGAGCAGCTGTGCTAGCTCATGTACAATAAAGATAAACACTAGAAAACATTAGAGGAAATTCATGTTTCTTCCAGTGTCGGTTTCACAGTAGTCTTAAATATATGCAGTTTTTTCTTTGTAAAGAAAACAGAACCATTGTTGAGCTGTTTTGGACTTTTTTTCTTTAAATCCTACAATTGGATTTACAGGCAGCTCTTCTTTGACACAGGCAGCAGAGTCCCAGCTCTGCTAAAATCCTCACAGCATATTTCACTGAGATCCGAGTACATGATTTCTATTTTTACACAAAGTCTATTATTCTAAAGATCCAAGGTATCAGATGATGACTTGATTCCTTCTTGAGGCCCTGTCCTCTCTGGAAACAATTAGACTAAAGCAAAGGCTCCAATTTCACAAAGCAATGGTCATACAAACATATTTTATATTATGTCTTTTGTTGGTGTAATGATTTGTGACAAGGTTTGAAAGAGCACTCTGATCACTCTCAGGCCTCTCTCCTCTCAGGAAAGATATTCAGCCCCAGCTCCACCAGCGCTCCCAGCAACATGGTCCACAGCGGTATGCACACAAACGTCAGCTTTACATCAGCCAGCTTCTCCAGCTTGGCACACAGTGTCAGGCAGAAGCCCAGCTTGAGCAGCATGGCCGTCAAGTACCAGGCACGTAGACGCAGATCTGGGGAGCCGTTCCGTGGGTCGTACCCAGGCTTGCAACGGCCAGCCATCTTAATGGCAAGCATGAGGATGAGGATGCCATCAAAGACCCAAACTGGGAGGAAGATGAGGAACCAGTTCCACTGCACCTGGAAGGAAGAAATAGAGAGGATGGTGTAAGTCACAGAGTAAATGCTTTTATCCACAACTTCTATCTATTTGATGTGTTCATTTCTATTATTTCTATTTACTCAAATTGGTGGCTAATGGGATAATAAAAACCCTTACCTTTCCATCCAGTTTCAGTACTAGCATGATGAGGAAAACCAGGGTGAAGACCCAGGTCAACAAAACCCTCTGAGCCAGAGACATCTCACTGACTGGGGACACAGATCAGAGGAGGAAACAAACAGAGACTGTACGTACATGGGACAGACACAAAGAGACACAAATTATGATCAATATTTGGTAAATGGAGATATTCAGCAAGAACACCCACATAAAAGAATACACAGCAGCGTTGGTATCGCTGCTAACAGCTATTTTAAACCCGGTAGTGTTAAAAAAAAAGTCAAACAAAATGTCACTAACACAAGCTGGACTAAATTTTAAAGGTATTCTTTCATTCATCGTTAGTTAGCAGGAATTACAATAGCAGCTAACTTTAGCTTTTATAGCCGAATAGCATAAGGCTAATCGTTTGGTGTTTTATTTAGAACGTCTGACTTACTTCAGTATATTTCTAGATCGGTGAGCGGCATTTTCTTCTCTCTGTAGGCTACACGCTGATACTCGCTTAACGTTTTTGATAATAAGTCACATAATTATCTACGGACGAGTCTGTTAAAGGATAACAGACGGAGAAATTTTAGGTCCGTTATCTGTGTTGCGTCCCGCCCATCACGGAAGCCAATTGGTGCTCGTTTCGTTACGTCACCTATTTTTAATGTCTGTCATTCGTGGGTCTAACCGTAAAGTTTGTGCAAAAGCGCAAACTCGGTGAAAGTTTTTTTCATGTAGTGAATTATAATGTCCACTAGAGGTGAGTAAAGTTCTTTCAAATTATACCACTCGCTGTGTTTATGTGCGATTCACTGTGCTGCAACATGATACGGCAACACTGTGTTATCAGTTTTTTTCAGTTTAGTTTAAGTTATTCACCGGAGTGATAATGTGACCCCGATATCCTTCTTCTTCTCTTAACTAACCGTTGGCAACGTTTATTGGCTTAAAATTGGATGGCGCACTTATGCGGTGGTTTACGGTCATGAGCTGAAGTTGTGTTTGTACAGTGAAAGACAGAAGGGAAAAGCTAATGCTTCAAACAGCGGTGAGCAGACACTCAGCATCACTTCCACACAATGGACAAGGCAGGCGAGCACAGTGCAGCATAAGTCACGTCTAGAAAACACTGTTTGGGTCTGCGTGGGGTCTGAGCAGCCGTCGCCGCCAAAGAGGTAAGACTGAGCGGCTGCATGGTATGTTAGGGCAGCAGTGATCAGGATTTCAGTATTAGGCACAGCTGTGTGGGCTCTTTGTGCCTGCCGGTAGCTTAGCTAACTGTGTAGCATGACAAGAGCTAGGAGCACAAGGAGGAGGAGGAGGAGGGTTGTGTTTGAACTGAACCATGAAGACTGTCTGAAAACACCGTGGCTGCATCTACATGTAGGCTAACTTCAATATCAGCTGCCTTTAAAGAGATTTATTGCGCTGCACAGGTCGTGTCCTTTTTTGGAGTGAAAATACACAGTAACGTTCACTCTATACGATTTTGCTGTTGTGTACTTGACGACTGTAGTCTTACTGGCTTATTTGACACAGATGCACTCTAAACCCTCACATTCAGCCTGTTATATTTTTTAATTGGAACTATATTCTTATTCACTTATAAACATTTTAATCTTTCCACTTTAATTCTACTAGAGCTGCAGCTCACCATTATTTCCATTACAAGGTTTCCTCATAATGTTTTATAGCGGAGGTGGGCCACCTCGACTGAAATCATTGAACATTTAAACCATAACACATGAATCGTCAGGGGAAACAAGCAGTGGTGTTGTCTCACTGTTGTTAAGATGCCATCATCTGCAAACTAATTTGTCGCCATGGTTTTCCACCTCAGCTAAACACTTTCTGGGTTTCTTTGAGTTAATGAGCTACAGTGGCTACACATAAACTATGGCAAACATTGCATGGCTGGAAGATGACTTTTTACCAAGCAGATTGCCTGTCTTCCCACAGATCTGTGTCAGCATCTGGGTGGCTTACCACCATGGCTGAACAATTTTCCTAATGGAAAGCCCTCTTTATTGATTGATCTTCTGGTGAAATGTTTTCTTGATTATTCTTTTGATATGCAAAATATTAGGAAATAATGAAAAATGTCAGTCACAGCTTCCCAGAGCTGAAAGTGGTGTCTTTAATTTGCTTAATTTGTGCAACCAACACTGCAAAATTCAAATTTAAGTTTCATTGAAGACTAAGAAAACCAATAAATAGGCTGTAATAGGATGTTCATTTTGGGCATTTTTACTAAAATGAAAAACCTACAGGATTAATCAGTTGATTAAACTTTGATTAAACTACTCATCTAATCATTTCAGCTCTGAATTCTAATCTGCTCCACCAATCTTCATCACTAACATGAATCTGCCTTCTTACTCTACTACCTAGTCAGGTTCCTCTACCTATCGTGTGTCACAGAGGGGAAACTGTCGCAGCCTTCAGCAGGCGGTCAGGCTCGCAGTTTGGCAGGCTGTCTGATTATCCAACATGATTTGCCATCCAGCCAGTCTGTCTCTTCCAGTGTCTGACTAACACTGTCATCACTCATCCAGATTTTCCACTGCACTTGTAATTTGACCCCTAAATTAACCCTGCTCACTGCACTGGCAGAGTCCTGTATGAATCCATAATGCTAACATACAACAAAGACAGATAAATCTTACTTCTGTCATCTAATATTTCAATATAAAGTATGAATTTTTTGTAAATCAGAATATGTTCATACAGGCTGAAGACGTGGAACAGATCAGACTACATATGAGTAATAAATCCAATTATAAAACATTGACATCACAGAATTGAGTCACTGCAGTATCACCTACTGTTTCAGCTTGACTGTGTTTGGACTGGAGCTAAGAATTTGACTGTCAGGTATGCAGGTTAGACAGTAGTGCTGTGTAATGTGGACATCTGTATTTTAAAATGTCATGTACTTTACTGTTTACTGTCTAAGAATCAAACCTCTGGAATAACACTGTTGCTCAGGCAGTCCACCTGCAGTCACATTCACAACTTTACGCCCCATTAACGAAACCATACACGCTGAGAACTAAGACACTTACACACATTTATCAAAAAAAGGTTAATTAGAGAGATTAAAGATTGGTTTTGAATTAGTAATGAGCAGCCACAATGTGATTTTGAGCAAGGCACTTATAATGTAGTTGTTCAGTGGCAAACGGCAGGAAACTGTGGTGACAAGATAGCACTCAGCAAAAGTTTGTAAAAATGCAGTGAGTTTGTTACCCGTTGACAAATCAGAGATGAAATCACCATCGCTGTGTCTTACACATCGAGACATGAGCTGACGGTTCTAACAGACACCTGGATGTACACACACACACACACACACAGACACACAGACACAGAGACACACAGACATTGTGGATGAGGCTACACAGTGCGTGTGACTTCGAGACGTTGATCGACTGATGTCCAGTTAGGCAAGAAGTACTTGTTAGTCAAGGTAGCTGTGCAGCAGTCCTGCAGCTTTCATCGCCTGGAGGTCAGTCAGCACAGTCCAATGTATAGTGTGTTTGTATTTGCATATACATGCATTTGCATAAAGTGAGTTGTAGTGGTTGACTGACTGCCTGACTGAGTGTGTGTGTGTAACTCTAGCATCCATAGTCAGTTGTCTGACCAGCGAGTCACTTTGTATTTCTTTGTATCTCTTTGTTCTCTCTGGCTTTCTGTCTCACCCTTTCTCTCTCTCAGTTGATTTCTTCTCTCCCTCTGTCTCTGTCTCTCTCTCTTGTTCTGTCTCTCTTTGAGGAGCTCTCAGACGATGCTCTTTGTGTTGTGCAGCTTGAATCTGCCTGCAGAGCTGGTTACATCACCAGCTGCAATATAGTTACATCACACACTAGACTGCCGTATCATCTTATGTTATAGCCGCAGAGTGGCCTGCAGGACAGTGATATAATTCATAGAAATATAGCCATTATGATGTTGAGTGCGAGCAGGAAGGTCACAGAGAAAGTGGACACATTACAAACTCAGCTGCACTGCAGTAGACTGGCAGGTCGCGTGGATGGAACATGGAAGGTGTTTTGTCAAGATGAGCTGTGACAGGATGGGAAATCTACACCAGGAGCATTTTGTCTCTGGACCCAGTCATGCTTTCTGCTAAACACAGGAATGCATCACCGTGGTTTTTAAAAAAAAAAAAAAAAAAAAAAAAAAAAATATTTAAAGGCCAGTACCATCAATCTGTATGATCCTACTGATATGATTGCTACTTCAGTTTCAGGGTCCATGTATTGTGCATGCTGGCTCACTGTCACTCTGTCAGGACTTACTCGGACACTTGACCAAAATGGAGCCATTTGATAATGTTATCAGTAACACCTGTGCTTTTCCTACTATGACAAGTCAACATGTCTGCTGGGAAAAAAGCCTATTGATACACATTTTCATTGTTGTTAGAGGTCAATCATTGCTAAGACCAATGTGGCACACCCATACAAGTGTTTGTAGTTATTGTGCGTTATTAAAACTGCTCATGTGGAGGTTGGAATGATTAATGTGTCATACATTCATCATATCTGAAATAAATCTTGAAATAAATGCCCCACAGCATTTTGTGATTGCTTTCTGCAGTGCAGTCTCCAACCACACTTATCATTCTTTTATCCTTTTGAGTTACCGTGAAAAACCACTGTAATGCTTATTTGGCATTTTACCTCCATCTAAGGAGGTCTCTATTACTGTAGCAGCAACGAGATCTTCCACAAACCCACATCTGGAATCGCAAACCCCCTCTGCCTTGTTGCAATTGTGGTTGTGGTTTGTTGAACAGCGTTTGACCTCTTCCTTTCACAAGACTTGAGGAGGTCAGAGTACGAATACATGTGATTGTGATACTAGTCAGCCTTTAACTTATTGGGTTTTTCAGGTTTTTTTTTTTTTAATTTTTTTTCAGCTGTTGCTTAGACGTGACATAGACTTTCCCACTGTAAAGAAAAGGACGGCTGTCATGTGAGTTGCGTGCGGCGGCGCTAATCATTTAGCTACAGTAGTGTAACTTCCAGGCGTAACACACTGATGTGACTGCAGAGCTGAGTGAGCTTCACACTGAGCTGTCTTGCCCTGCGGAATGACTTGAAGAGACGTTATTGATTACCTACCTTGTTAGGCTGTCATTATGAAGAAGGTCAGTTTGAAGGATAGATGATGGTGATAAAGACGATATTTTGGGGATAATTATTATGATGGAAAAGGAGGATGATGGTAGTGATGGTCGGTCTCCTGACTTTCCACAAAGGGCTATATTGTTAGAAAAGGTTGCTGCCTAATGTTAGTCATGATTGTTTTTCAGTATTCATACTGTGTCTAAGGGCAACACGTGTATGTGTGTTTTGAAGCAGGAGAAACTTGGAAGCCTCACTGTGCAGCTTCGACATGTGGACTAATTACACATTACAGTGTCCACAGGAAACCATTTTCCACACACATTAGATGCAGTTATTAGCCTGAGTGATCAAGAGGAAGCTTCTCTTTCTTGACTGGTTTTACTAGTATGTGAGAGCCTTAGAGACACACACACACACACACACACACACACACCACACACACACACACACACACACACACACACACACACACACACACACACACGCTGCTGTTGATGCTTTGAATCTCAAATGTGATCATCCCAGACCAGACAGTCTTGACCTCTTGTCTCTCGCTCTCTGTCTGTCTTTGTTTGCCAAATGTCCAGTTCCTGTCCTAATTTGGTTGTGAGGACAAAACATCGCTCAGCTACACGGCCTGACCAGAGGTGAGTCCTGTCTGTGTGTGTGTGTCTGTGTGTGTTTTGAATTCATTGTGTGTTTACTAGTTGCAATTCCCCACCCCAATCTCCACATAGTCTGTTTTTGTTTTTGCACCGCATGCTTCAGCACCTCTTGTTCTGTTGTTGTGAGGGTGTCAGCTGCCTACACACACATACATACACACATACACACACACACACACACACACACACACACACACACACACACACCCACCCTGCTCAGACAGCAACAGCACTTCATGAGTACTGTTCATTATGTCTGAGAGAGAAAGACAGATGGAAAAATAGGAGAAAGTGTAAAAAAAAAAAAAAAAAAAAACTACCCCTCTGAGGAGAGCACAGGAGGCAAACACCAGGCTTTTTTTTTCTATGCATGTGTCTGTCTCTGCAGACTGAGCCGCGAAGTCTACAGTCTACAGCAGCAGCAGTTTGTGTGTTCTTTCACTTCATCCGCGGTTGCTGTTTTCCTGTCCAGCAAATACCCACCCACACAGTTTTTTCCAGGTTACTATTTTATGTCATCACATTATACAGAAAGGTATTGTATTGTATTCTGTTTTCATTTGGGTGTTTTTGCTGAATGCACAAAATTCAAAATCCCCAAAAGACCTAAAAATAAGACGATTTAACTACAGAAGGATGGTCTGATGATGTTTGCCACAAGCCTAAATGAGCAACATATTGTCATATAAAAAAACAGCTGCAGCTTTATGTGATTGATTTCTGGCACGTCAGAAATTTTGGTCGACTCCACGAGTCTTTCCCACGACTGCTGTCAAAAGATTTGTCAGAAGATGTATTTGTTATTTAGTTTTTAATTATTGGAATAGCATTTTACATGGTGTGGTCATGAGATTGAGCTCTGATATCAGACTGATCTTCGCTGCAGGTCCATCTGCGGCTCCATACTTTTTTCTTCTTCTTACTTTCTCTTCATAGTAGAGTTGCACAAAGTAACGCCACCTTTCTCGCAGGTTGTGGCTGTGCAGAAATGTTTTGTATTAAGTATTTTGATGTCATATATGTGCATGACCTCATTAACTAACGAACTGGAGTGTGTGTGTGTTGTGGTATGATGAAGGTCAAGTGTGGGGTTGTTTGTTGTCACTTGAGATTGTCAGGGAATCACCCTACATGATGGAAAACATGATCCCCCCCACGTCCCACCACCCCTCCATCTCACACATACACACACACACACACACACACACACACACACACACACACACACACACACACACACGCCCCCTCGGCCCAGCTTGGAGATGTAACCTGCACCCATCATGAAATATAGAGCACCCAGAGAGAGAGGGAACAGTTAGTGTTACACATCACGAGTTAGCAACCTCATGAAGGAGGTCTCTTCTCGTGCTCATGTTTTCATCAGACATCCCAGAGCGACGTTACACTGTCGTCAGTTTGTATTAGAAGCAAAACAGTAAGAAAACCAAGCTGTTGCTTTCTGTTCTGTTGTTTTTGTCTTATTTGTCCCTTGAAAAACCAGCTTTGTGGTCAACTCTGATCGTGATCAGTGTTGCCAGCAGTATTCCTTCATGCTCACTTTCCATCTAAATTCGTCTGACTGCCACTTTCTGCTTTTTCAGCCCAGATTTAGCAGCCTGGTTTTCACATACTGTGGCTAAACAAAATAATTTATTTTCTAAAAGCGAATATTGACTTTTTATTTGAGCCCACAGAGATGATTTTTGTTGTTAGTTGGGGCTTTTCGAGCAGCACTGAAGGGCACCCATCAATGTTTGAGTGGAGGCTCACAGCAGATAGTGAGACATTTCAGAGCTTTCCTGATGTACATACACTCAGTAAAATAAAGCCTGACACCACTAAATTTCAAACCTAACATGACTCATTTCAAAGTTTATGCAGCGTGTCACACCTCTGATGTTGCTGCAGTGGATGGAGGAATGAGAGAGATTATACAGTTGCACATCACAACATGCTGCCCTGACTTTAGGTACAATTGAGACAATCAAGCCTCTTTGTTTTAATGCTTTAAGGGGTTCCCTCAGGAATTAGGTTTGCTGAGGTGGCAAGTCGGATCGGTGGTTGTGTATCGACGTAGCTGACTCTCTGACTGCTGTGCCCGTTTTCCATTACGTATCAGTTGATCTTTACACCACTACTTTTCTGCTCTGATTAAATACTGTGAAGCAAATGTCCAATGCGATTGATTATCCATCACCTGCTAAGATGAATCGGACGGATCCTGATGGATCCTATCTCATTATCAATGCAGTTTTCCAGATCATGGTTTGAGTCTGAGTTTCACAGATGAAGTACTTCAACAACTAGGAACTGAAAAATACAACTGATTACCCGAAACCAACCCAAGTCATTTGCAATAACACGAGACATTAAGAATGGAAAGAGACAGAGTGAGTGTGTGAAAAAAGTCAGAGGGTTGTAGGTTTCATAACCAATAGCATAAAATTGTAAAAAAGAGAACAATTGTAAAAAAAAAAAACAACAAAAAAAAAAACAAAAAACAAAATCGTCATCTAGCACACACACGACTTCCAAATACACACCCACTTTCCATTAGACACACTCAAAACACACTGACATAGTCACCACACCCTCACTCTCAACACGTCAGTCTTCAGCTGTAGTGATTTGCAGTGTGTGTGTTTCTAAATGACTGTGGTGGTAGTCACTGCTTTTGTCTATGAAACACTGACTGGTATTAAGCATTTTCACAGAGACACTCGTACAGTCATTGTGCAGGTTGCATTGATGGTAATCTTGGGGTTTTCATGATTTTTCTATCAGTATGATGAATTACCATGATTTCTTTCACCTATAAACAGTTTTTGTTTTCTGAGAACTGTATCACGATATCTAGCAACTAATTATCTGGAACTAGAATTTGTCCATATTGCCCAGTCGAGAGGTAGGGAGGTAAAGATGCTTGATAGTAGAGCTTAAAGATTTTTGAGGCATTTTGCACGAATGTCCTTTTTTATAGACGAAATGATGAGAAAATAATTGTTGTTTGGCCACATGTGAATCCTCAGGCCAAGTTTGAAATACAGCACTTGAAATAAATATCTGAAGTGTGTAAAAGTTACACAGACGACAGCCAGCTCATATTGAAAATAGTGTTTTCTTAAAATGATGGTTATAAATGGTAGAAAAAAAAAGTAAACGACACATGAATCAGTATCAAAGACGTGTTGAGGTTTGGTACCCAGCCATGTTTAGCACAATAACAAGTTTATGATCACCTTCCACATATCCATCCCTACGAGATTTAAACATAGAGTGTAGGTGTGAGCTTTGCAAGACAAGAAACGCTCTGGATGTGATAGACTTAAGGTTTGAAATCAGTTGTGAGACGCACAAGAAGTACACACTAAGAACCACCACTATTTCTGTGAGAAATAATCCAATCTGTTGTTACATTATTCAGAAACATTAAGGTCTTAACCTCAGTGGAAAACAACCCTCAGTTTGGGAAATAGTGTGGTTTTGTCTAAGTATCTTTTTACCCCCCCCGTGAAGGCAGCATGAGGCCACATTGACATCACGTGCACCCACACTCACGCACACACGCACACACACACACACAAACACTCAAACACTCAAACACTCAAAACTCAACCTTTTTCTTCCACTGACCTTCATCCACATTAACATTCATACAGTAGCTGCAACAGACATATGGCTAATCACACTCAGCCATTTCCTGCACACACATACACCCACACACCCACGCTCGCTCTCTCACGCACACATACACACTAGGGCATATAAAGAGCTCTCATATAAACTGTGGCCTACATAATACATGCTGTCTTACTTGACTGCTCTCTCTCTCTCTCTCTTTAAATGGGTCAGCTCATTGGTCAGACAGACTTGGCAAGCCATAGAGCTGCAGACTGTGTGTGTGTGTGTGTGTGTGTGTGTGTGTGTGTGTGTGTGTGTGTGTGTGTGTGTGTGTGTGTGTGTGTTTGAGTGCGTGTGTGTGTGTGTGTGTGTGTATTAGTGCGTGTGTGTCGGGTTGTTATCGACGTTGTTAAATTCTTTGCAAGCTTTGTAATGGGGTGCGTTTGTGAGCAAAACTTTCTTGTTGACATGAGTTTTCTGCCACCGGAGTTACTGTTAAAAATGAAATGAAAGATGAAAACAAGTAATTTAAAACTTTAAAATGAGATATCTGATCATATATTTTTTCTTTTTCTTTTTTCATTTGAATGTCTGTGAATTCAGCTTCCTGTGATGAGAATATAAGTATAATGTCTGTGTGTGTGTGTTTTCTGTTGTCTGGGCTCCCTTCCCTAAATACCCTTTAGCAAACCACAATGTATTTTGGGAACACTGAGAGTGTGTGGTTTCGGAAAAAGTATGTTAGGAAATAACTCCCAGCCTATTTCTTCTTGTTATGTTTTCCAGCATAAATGATAACCTAGCATTTTACAGCTAATCCTGTGTCTGTAGCCGTATTAGGCAATGATAATGCGTCTGTGTTTGTTTGTGTCTGATAATATGTGTGAATCAGTGTTGCCTTCACTGAGGTATGATGGAGGGATTTCGAGGCTTTGAACAGCCTGTTTTTGTTATCACCGTCTCTGGATGGGGAGGATTTAAGCTCTTAAATCTGTCACAAAGTCTGAGAGAGTTAAAAAAAAGAAACCCTGCTGTTTGTGGTCCAACTCCGCTAATGACGGAGTGTCGCTCTCGTAGGTTTGTCTGTCTGGGATTAATGTGTGGTCATGCTTACGATTGTTGTTTTGAGGTTGCGCAATTTGACGGTTTGTCACAGCGGGACTTGTTGCTCGACAATAAGCCATTTTCAATGTGCACTTCAGCGATGCGATCTCTTATATTCTTACATAACAAATTTCAGAAATCATTTTGTCTGTTAATGTGCGTAAGTTGTACTTTAATGGGGAAATGTCACCAAACATTTTGAAGATGTTAGCTGTGGCTTTGAGACTTTTTTTTTTTTAAAGCTTATATAATGTAAGCAATTCATCAAATAATCATAAAATAACTGATGCATAAGCAAGATATGGATACAGTCCTGTTATATGTACTTTTATACTATGAAATTCATACATATCTTGATATAGTTATTGATATTTTATGGTAAATGGTATTGGAAACTGTTTATGGACACAATTGAAGTCTCTGTTTTTGTCTAATCCAAAAAAGAGTTTTATTTTTTAGGACTGTTTTAAATCCATGTTCCTCTCATCGCAAACTATTAAATCTCTGTTGGAGCTGTGAGAGCAGTGTGTAAATGTCAGTTTGTGACGGGAAGGTGACTCTCGTGTGTGAATGAGAAATAAACTTATCTCAGTGTTTATGTTAACAGAGGAAGTGGAACAGAGAATACTTGTCTTGCTATTTCACCCTCCATATTGTGTTTGCTCTTTGCATACAGCCTCCTCCTTCCTCTCTTGATCTGTCCGTTATTCCTTTCTTTCACCGCCTCTGTCACCATCTCTTCACTCAAGTTTTAATATGAAGTCTTTCATTGACACTAACCCACTTGCTTGTGTAACCACTGCACATAAAACGAACAAACCAGCAAAGTGCCCACTCTTTCTTTCTCCCTTCTTCTCAGTCTTTCAAATTTAGGTTGAAATATGTTTCATTTGTATGATCATAAATAACAGTAGAAGGCAAATGTGGTTTATGTCAGGAATAGTATGGTTCAGCAGTGGAGGATGGAGGGAGGGTTGATGATTATAATTGTAGACAACAGCAAGCAAGAGACTTTCTTCCGGTTACTAAAAATGTCTCTTGCCTTCTGGGGCGAAAGTGCACGTACACATACACTCTCTCTCACACACACACACACAAAGAAATTCGTATATACCAACACTTCTGCAACTGTGTGCAGCGTGCATGTAGCACTTATGGGTTTCAGAACTGAGTGCTTTGCAATTCTGCATTAGTCTGCTGGCTGTGTGTGTGTGTGTGTGTGTGTGTGTGTGTGTGTGTGTGTGTGTGTGTGTGTGTGTGTGTGTGTGTGTGTGTGTGTGTGTGTGTGTGTGTGTGTATGTGTGTGTGTGTGTATATGTGTGTGTGTACTACTCTATTAGCAGACTACTATGCGTGATGTAGAAACAGTTCACACTTGGCTCGAGTAGAAACTTTTGTCTCCTTCCTGCTTTTGAGCTTCACATTCTTCACATTGACACACAGCTTGGACTCGCTCTACTGCAGCTTTGAAGACGAGGACAACTCAGACTCTCACACCAATACTACTCTATTTGAAGTGGCAACTTTATCACACACACAAACACTCAGTGTTGTGGTTTGGTCGTTGGCAGATCAGCTGTGGAGCTGTTAAACGGTCCTGTAGTACGGTCTCACATACACTTCTTTGAAAGCAAACTGCGCCATAGACTGAATGTGACTCATGAAATAATCTTCATGGCTTTATTTTGGTAAAATATCTGAAAAGTAGCAGCACATGTTAGCACAAAGATATTTCGAAGTATCTACCATGGAATTTGCATATAAAATGACTGAAGGCTCTCCTGACTCATTTAAAGAGAACCATTTCTAACAAGAAATCTTATTCTCTGGAAATTAAACAAGCCTTCACATGCAAAGAAGGATGTCTTCACTCTGCTTTGTCAAATTAAATGTTCAACATTGAGTGGAAAGCTTGTGGGTAAAAGCAGAATAAATGAAGCAATGTAAATACATGTCATATTAGAAAAGCTAAATTGAAATAGGAGAATTAATGAAGACCCTGGCCTGGCCTGAAGCCACTGCCCTCCACCTATCTCCATCTATCTGCTCCTCCATCCCGTCCACTCACACAGCAGGACAGCACTGCAGTTGCATAACAGAGAAATAGAAAAGAGACTGAAAGAGAGAGGAGGAAGGAGCAGATGCAGAAAGAGAAGAGGGAAGGAGAGTGGCTAACCGCAAAGTCTCCATGTTTTTTCACTTAACAGCTTATTAACCACACCTTCTTCTCCCTGTCTTCCTTTTCCACCTGCACTAACTCAGATGTTTCTACTCCTGTTTAATTCTTTACCAGCACAAAGTGTTCGCAGCCCTCATGTTACTACTGAGTATGTTTCAGACATTTTTATACCCACATCTATGAACAAAATCTGTTAAATGTTACATTAGTAAAACAAGCACAAAATAACTCCCTTTTGTTATTCTCAGTGTCAAATAACAAGGATGTTCGGACTTGTACAGAGGGCTCCAGTACATCACTTCCTGTTCTCTTACTTTTTTAACCACAACAAACAAGCTCCCATCGCCTCCATCGCCAGAAGATCCTGTTTCAAAGACAACCCAGTGTAATGACACAGGGACTGTAACACTGACACACTGCAGGCCTAATGTAGACTGTGCTCTCTGTCATGTGAATCCCATCAGCAACCCATATACTGAGATAACATATGGTTTCTGTTGGTGGTGGTCAGTCATGAATGTTAGCAGATGTCATATAGAGTATATTGACTATTGCATGTAATGTAATATTAGCTGCAGACATGAGAGGGCTTTTTTCCCAGTGTAAATAATAGGGATGGGCATTTTTAGTAATTTCAATATTCGAGTACTCTCGTTACCTTACGAACGAGTACTCGATTACTCGCAAATGATATATATATATGTATTTATTTTTTTGCCGTAAAAAACGAAATACCACAGGTCCGTGTCCGACTGGAAACACAAGCGGAATGTTAAGCTTGTGTTTCCAGTCGGACACGGACTTCCCTGACCAAGTCTACTGTCTGACTGTTGGAGAACATGATATGCAAGTTTAACGCCACATATCTTGAACTGCATGTTATTGTTGTCTTTAAAAAAAAAAAAAAAAAAAAAATTTAATAAAAGTTTTTCCCGACATCCCTTTCCCTAGTCACGGCTGCCATGGTGCACGTAACGCTACCTTAGTTCAACTTACGTGCACCAAAAACAACACGTGCGCAGGTGCGCGAGTAGTGAAACGCTACTCGAATAATGACGTCAACAACGAGTACTCGAGTACTTGTACCCATCCTTAGTAAAGAACATGAAGCGATGAATGCACAGGTTTTCAGTAGAGAGAATAGAAGGTTTCTCGGCTGATGGAAAAATGCCTGAACTAATGATTTGATATGTTTTTACAAAGCTCAGGTTGTAGTAAGAAAAAATAAAGCCAAGATTCCTGCAGTGCCTGGTTACACATATAAACACAGATTTGATTCTAATGCGTCAACACTGTAGTCCTTCTACCTAATAAATAACTGCTGCTAAGAAAGTGTGTGCTCCAGTTTTCCTCTTTGGCTCAGTGTGAGACTACATTAATGTGTTTATCAGTTCAACAGTCCACAGGCTAAAGTACAAAATAAAAAAAACATCATTTGTGTCTGTATGATGCTAAATATTTATAATGGTCTACAGATCACCAGCATCATGCCATGTTTTTTGGATATGAAGATAGATGAGGAAGAGAATTCATTCTTGACCTAAGAAACTAGTTTCAGTAGACTCAAGGTCAGCTTCCTTTGGATCTTTCAACCACATCTCACCGTATGTGAGATCTCACTGTAATGACATTTTTGTTTTGGAGTGTTGTAGATTGTAGTTGTCATTTTTCTTCTGCTTTTATTTTTTTTATTCACCATATAAAATTGTGGTTTTTGAGACGGGTTTCATCCACCATCTTGATTTGCACATTTTTTTAATAGTTGCGAATCCGTATTTAGAAGAATAAGCAAGAACAATCCAGTTTACAAAGTGTTATTAGCCATCAGATGCACTTGACATCAAGAGTCTATTCTACACATAGTACTCATTTTGATAATCCTACATAATAATAAGGAAGTCGCTTACACACCCAAACCACTGCAGGGGATCGAACAACTGTACCCAGATTATCTCCTGTGTGTGTGTGTGTGTGTGTGTGTGTGGTTATGATTCAGCTTATTCACAGACCGGCTCATAGAAAGACTCTTTGTTTATGTTACAAGATGGGTGTCAAGGGAGACAACATGTTAAAGTGACTGGCTTTATTGGGGGGGGGGTGAGTGATTCAGGAGCAACACGACGGAAAGAAGAGATATAAATAGTGTGTTTGTGTCTTGTATCATGTTTTTAGAAAAGGCAGAGTGAATGCCAAATCAGAATAAACACGTGTGTACAAGTGTGTGTGTGCGCCTTCCCCTCCCTCTCTCCTTTGTCAGTTGTCAAGACACACCTGCCTACCTGCCTAGGTATATAGACTACGGTCCTCCTCCCTCTCACCTCATTACTCCGTCACTGACACTGCTCTCTCTCTGTCGCTGTGTGTTTTGTGTTTTCAGTCTAAGATGCCCTAGGCGGGGAGAAGGGAAATGTAAATGGCTTCCAAAGTAAAAGATGCTGTGGTGTGGTACCAGAAAAAGGTAAGATGCTGTTAATTTCTTACACTTGCACATTTCTTTCATTTTGCATTTGTGCAGTTCTCTGAAAAAAAAAATCAATTAATTAGAAATTTAAAGGGATAATAAGGGATTGAAAGGCAGTTCTTAAACTTCTACTTTTACTGTATTTTAACTCGCCATTACATCAAGGCTTTGGGATATAAGTGTCACTCCAAAGAGCCTTGCTGGTTAAAGTCTGAATTTAATAAGCAGTCAGTCATTGCTGAAAAATGAAGGCCCTCATCAGGCAGTGTATGTTGCTGAAGCCTAGTTGGCTACACGTGTGTTTACACATATACACACATGGATGTACAGATGCGTCAGTATATGAAACACGTAAAGACAAGAGACTCCTCAGACACCTCCTATAAATTCTTTTAAATGCCATAGAAATAAAAAAAAAAAGGTTTGCCTAAAGAGAACAGATAGAAAAATGAGATCAAATACATAAAAAAAGTTAAATTTTTGACAAATTTATTTTTTAAAAAATCAAAAAAAAAAAAAAAATCTAATTACTGTGTAAAATTTAATTTTTTTTTTTTTTTGTTTTTTTTAAAAAAAATAAAAAAAAAAAAAAATCTAATTACTGTGTCTTTCTGTTGCCTTCAGCAGCATCTCATGGTTTTCATCAGTTGTCATATCAGATTTTAAATGATCATAAGTGCTAAGAAATTTGGAAAATTTGGACCATTTGGAAAAAAGTGACAGTAAATCTGCCTGAAATTCTATCAGAATTACGCAAAAGTAAGTATTTAAACCTTGAATGGGCAAAATATGACGTTTACAGAGTGTATCTTCTGTATGAATAATGAACTAATTACTACTACTACTGCTTCAAAAACCTTGCAACCAAGAAAAAAAGGAAGGTGGATACAAGTTCAAAAAGAGTTTGTGCACAAATTCAGTTTTTGCAGTTTCTGTTGTTGCATAATATGGGTTTTTGAAGCCAATATATATTTGAAAAAACCCCTATTTAGAAGAAGAATTACAACCAACGTGTACTGAAAGGGAAATGTGCCAGTTCAGAAATAAAGGATAAATGAGTCAGTGGTCTCCGGCAGACAAACTAAATGCTGTTTCTAAATGACCTGAAATGTATCTTTTGCATTTCACAGTAGCTGCTTCCTGTTACTTACTGTCCAGCACATACTCTTCAATATAGCTGCAACAAGATGATATGTGTTCACTGTTTGATTTTATCAGTGTAGGTCTGTGGATCACGGAGGACGGCAGAGCTGAGGCATTCATTCATTTTCTTTCCTTAAAAGAGAAACTGAAGATGCAGTGTTACAACAGACGTTCTGATATTTGAGTGTGCGGACTCTCATTGATCCACCAGTGTTTTGGCAGTGAACTCTGCAGTGCTGTCAGCAGCAGCAGAGCCGGGCCGTTAGGCGCAGTGTGAAACCAGCCTGGTGTTGTGTGTCGTCTTGTTCCATCGTCTCAGATATCAGATCCTCTGTTGGACTCCTGCGCTGCCCCCCCCCACACCCCCACCCCCTTTTTAGCTCTCAGCTTACACTCCGTCTGTCTGCCCGGCTCTCTGTCCTCACAGACCTGTCTCCCTGTTCTTACGATCCCGTCTCCCTCTTCTCTGCCCTGTCTGTCGGCCTGTTATTATTTCCTCTACAACCCCTCTCTCTATGCATCCGTCTGCCTTCATCTTTGTCTTTCATCTCTCTCTCTCTCTCTCTGATCTTCTGCTGGCACCTGGCAGATTGAGGCAACATAAGCTTTCACTGGAATCAGATCACGCTGAAGTTGACTCATGAGAAGTTACAAACTTTAATTAATGGTCCAAACTCTATACACTACTCTATTTTTTCCCAGCTTTGTTTTTTGTTATATTGGTTCTTAGATTTGTCCTAAGTTTAATTGCTGGTAACATTTAAAAGGTCTTAAGTCTTCAATTACGTTTTAAGATTAGTCTAAGAAACTGGATTAAAAGCTTGTCTGGGCAGATGCACACCAGTGACTGCAACCGCTGAGTCATGACCGGGTGAAGCCCTTTTTAAGGAGCAGATCACATCAGTCTGACTGTCCTCAGGGCTTCTTCAACTCTGACGTATGTTTTAGACAAGTTAAGAGTTTTTCCCCCTCTGATTCCTGAATGTAAATGAGGTATGACACAGATACTCTATTGAAGATCATGTTTGCAGACTCTCCGCATCATAACCAAGGCTTTCTTGTCTGAACAGTTTAATTCACCAGGACGAGAAGATTTTATTTATCCCCAACAGTTCTGCTATCTCTGTTGGTCCTGGTCAATAACACAGCGGATAGGCGAGCCATGAAGGGCAAAGACAGGCTCATATCACAGTCTGTCTTGTTCGGCTCTGGCTTTGCTAAAAATACGAGAGAGCGAAAGATACTCAGAGGTTTGGCTTTAAGCAAACACCTGAAGTCCTGCCAAATAAAGAAGCACAACCCTCTGGAGAGAGTTTAAGTGTGCGTATTTTTAAATGAGTCTGTGGCTCCTAACAGGCCTCATGTGGTGGAAAAAAGGGTTGTTGTGTTTGTACCCTTGGCTCACATGAGTGGTGGTGCATTGTGTTATGTTGTTGATGCTTTCATTGTGATGGAATCAGAGTGAGGACTATGGATAGGTCTCCCTCTGGGTTGGACCACCTACTCACCTCTGGTGATTTTTAGCTCTGCAGTTTTGATTGTAGTTGCTGAAGTTTTGAGATTGCTGCCGCTGACCTTTCTGCTTCTATCCCAGAACAATTGAGGGTCATGAAATGTAGTTTGTGGTGCTCACAGTATATGACATTTAGAAAAGGTGTCTTGTTATTCTGGATTATCCTCTGACTTCACTGTGATCACAATTTTAACTACTTTCTGACTGTTGACTGTTCTTTAAATGTCCTGTTCTTTAAATGTCTTTTTAATGCCGTGAGCACCATAAACAAAATTACATTCAGCTCAATGGTATTGCTATAACATTTGTATATTTATATATGTTTGTTTAGTTTTGTGGTTTTTTTTTATTTCAGAAATGTACATACATGCCCACTAAGTGTATCGTCCACACAAAGCAATCAGATCTTATCACAGTAAATGTGTCAATCTAACTAGGTAATAATAAAATTTGACTCTTAAAACTAGTGTATGTTAAAGGTATAAAATGTAACCTTCCCACATTAAAACGTCTAAAATCGACAAGACCTATGTTATATATTTTGATGAAATTTTTATGATACCCTTGGTTGTTTATATAACTATATATTGTAAAAAGATGAAGGGGAAACAGTGTTGGAGAAACACAGATTTTTAACTTGAAACTGCTTTATTCAGTGTTTTTACCAGATTTAATCACCGGATCTGTTTGTTTTGGAGAGGAGGAGACCTCTGCAGATAATTCGGCTCCTGGTTAAAACCTCCTGAATATCTGGATCACAAGTTATCAGAGAAACAAGTCACACGGACTATTTTTAATGTGAAACTGCTTTATTCAATGTTTTTACCGCAGGGGTGGTGAAGAGAACAATTCCCATGATCCCACGCTGCGTCACCAAACTCTGTCTTTTGTTATTGTTTTCATTGAGAGACCCCTAGCGCAAAAAAATTAACATATTGTGTGTTTAACTGAAAGATGGATTTTGAGCTTGAGAGAAAGGTCCAGATTTCCAAACAGGTGAAGCTGAACAACCTCAGCTCTCCAGCCTCTCCAGCCGTTAGGCAGTGGCCCCCATGAGTCACAATATATTTCTGACTGTGCTGTCTGAAAACAGGCTGCAAATAGACTCTGTAATGTTTGTGTGGAGGCCTTTTTTTTCTGACCACAGTGCCATGCCAAACCCATATCACAGTGAAGATGCATGTAGCCGTGCAGTCTATATCTGCCACGAGAGACTTTCTGTCTTTTTTTAGCTCTGACACAGAGTTTGCTGATGCCAAGTGGCAAGCTGGTTGCCAGCTTCCTATTTGGTGATATATTTGGGTTTAAAAGTTACACTGTAATAAATCAGCATATAGCTTCTTTGTGTGGCAAGTTTAAGGCCTAATTTAAGACGTAAGCAACACAGTTGCTCTGAGGTAAGTGGGCGAGATCTGTGGATGTTAGTGACTTTACAGGATGGGCGAGTCTCAGAGGGAATATTCTCCATCAGTAAAGTCAGCTGTGTACATGATAGAACTGTTACAGGACTCGGCTTTATTTAGAGAAGACAACACATAAATGACCAAGTATTTGCTGCTTTCTTTTTTTGCTGCTTTTCTTTGTCTTATACGGCACGTAATGTGAATATCCTTGGGTTTGGACTCTTGGTTGAACAAAATAAAACAATTAGAGGATTGGGCTCTTGGAAATTAGGATTGTGAAAAATTTGAGCAATTTATCGTGTGACATTCAAGAGCCGAAGTGAAGAAGAAAAAAAAAGTCACCATATTGTAAATGTTCTGTTTGTGTTTTTGGCTTCTACAAGGAGGGTTCACCATTTGTCATACCCATTCACACAAACACCTGTTTGAGCTGAGAATAGATCTTACACACACACTTCTATGTATGTCGCCATGGTAGCATGAAAACACAGCAGAGGTTAATCTGCATGCCACAACCAGCTGTCTGACCCCAATTCCTTTTAATTGTTGTTTCACTAACTCAGTCAGTGAATCTGTTTTGGATTTTTGTGGTCAACCACACCTTAGCTGTTTCTTTTTTTCTCCTAGAAAATGATTTCTTTAATTATAAATGATTGTTGATTTTAGTTAGAGATTAGTGTTGGCACGTTCTTATGTTTTTTTGGACATGATCAGTGTTTTTATATTTGTGGTGAAATGATTTGTTGATGAGTGAACTGACTACCATTTTGATAAGCAGTTAATAGTTTAAAATCGTGTTGTGTATCACTCTGAGCTGAATATCTTTGGGTTCTGAGTGTTGGTTGGACAAAATGATTGATTAAAAACATGGCAAAATTGATAGAAAATAAAAATAATCATTGGTTGCAGCCCCAATCAGGATTAACTAGTGAATTTCA